GTCTTTCTCGCCGTATTGGTCCGCAAGAACCTGGCGCGCGCGCTGCTTGGCGGGTTCAGAGACGCGCGGGTTGTGGATTGCGCTGTAGAGCATCAGTATGTAAGGTGAATCGAAGAAGGTGTTGATGCAACTCACGCTTTGTATCCCCGCTCCTGGTTCGCGGGATCGGGGGAGGTGGATCTTCCACGAGGCATTTTCTTTTTTTTTAGACCTTTCGGCTTAATGCTAATGAAGTGATAATAAAAACAAAGCAGTTTGCCTGTGTACACGTATGTACAGTTCACGCAAGATAATCAACAAGATAATATATGAATCGGAAAAGAAATCCAAGCCGGAGTCTCGGGATTGAGGACTGGTTTATATACCTTGGCAGAACCGCCTGACTGAATAATCAGGTTTATTAAATCACTGCTCGTCGAGGGAATATGATTGATCGTGTCTATATGCATCCATCGTGCTGTTCTGGTTGTCGTGGTGGCTGGTGGCTGGTGGCTGATAGATGATACCATGTCCTCCGCCACGGGGGCGGGGGCAAGTTCGGAGGTGATGTCCATGCCATTGTCGTGTTTATTTCGATGGCAATGCTGCCAGCTTGACTCCTTCTAGAAGTCTTCTGCCGGTGCGAGTTGTGAATAAGCTTAACCTTGTTCTCGTGAGGTCTCTTCCGAGCCAGTCCGCACCCACCAGAGACAGCAAGCAAGCAATTCGGGAACAACTTCCGACCAGACGACTATTGCAGGCAAAGTGGCTGAGGAGGGAGATATAAATATCCAATCTCTGCTTGATCTGTGAATATCTACTGTAGGGTGTGTGGCTGCCTGTGTGTGTCATGATTGCGTCAGGTTGGCGACTCGTGCAGTAAGCGTGGGAATATTTCAGTGGTTATCAGTAGGGAATCTATGAATGGTCAGACTACATGTAGGATGAGACGAGATAAGAAAGGCCGCCTCGTTGCTATCTAGTAGTACATGTATACAACAATGCACTCGATTTAGTATACTTTCCTATATGGGAAATGTTGTAAGGCGAGAATAATCTTCTTTTTTTGATAAAAAAGGTGTAATTTGATATATACTATACTCCAATAACAAGCTGAAAAACGACCTCGTCTTAATCACGGATTATGGTCTGCATTGGGACCTTCATATCAACGTTATTGTTCGATCCGTACTCTTAACCTGAAAACAGTTATTGATTTTTTTTACTACTCTATACATTTTTGTTACCTTTCACTCTGTGTCACATAACCTTTAGATACCATGTTCTTATTTCCTGTCCCGCTTAGCTCTTTGTTAACCTATAGGCTGACTGTTCGAGTGCTAAATTGACGAATCGCCTGATCAATTACACTCTTTCGAACGAATTTCTAACCACTTTTCTCTGTGGTCTTAGGTCTCACATCCCCGGTTGAGTTGCACGATTAGATTATCATTACTAGGGAGGAGAAAGAAATGAAGAAGAACAGGATGGATTTTCATACGTTGCCCAGCGCATTCAATCCGGTATCCAACGCGAACGGCTTCTCATACCGGAATCGTTGGCGTTTGAGGACACCTTGAACCTCGTAGGCGTAGTACTGGAGATGGGACATGGTAATTACTGGAATAACCTGAGATAATCTAGCAGTTCCTTTCAGTCTGAAGATCATTTAAAGAGCGATTGGTCAGCAATCAATTTTTTCTATTAATATTAAGTTCCAGAACTACAGATTTTTAAAATCCGGGATTACATATTCCCTGAACATCAAAAGAGCCACATTCCAATGTAGGCGTTCTGTTTTGTACCTCAACTTCTAGAGTAAGAGTAATTACAGCCAGGGTTCATCTGGTGGATTCTAGTTCTGGAATATACGTGTACTCGGAGTTTTCCAGCTCGAGATGGCCTGTTATTACTCTGATTGCTGACATACTCAGCGCGACGACACTGACGGGCGAAAGCCCGCATGCGTCCGTTGTGTCGACCGCGGCATTCAGGCCAGTACTCTGCCCAAGTCTACGTATTGCTACTCCGCAAGCGGATCGAAGTCATGGCGCCACTCTGCGGCTGCATGGGAATTATATCGATTCCTCTGTCGCTCAGCTAATGGTTGTCTCTCCAGCTGCGACAGGTGTAATGGCGCTTCAGACATCAAACACTTGTAGGTAGTGTTCGACGGCGCTTTCACGCAAGACAAGTCTTTGAACTTTGACAAAACGGTAAAATTCGATATTTTGGACCTACCAGCGGACGGCCGCAATTCCGGTCCTCTAAAGGTAAGCCTTGTCATGCTGGCTCAACATGTTGATTGAGGGCGAAGAAGCATTTTTACCCAAGACAGAGCTGTAAGGAGATCATCCGTATGACAAATCCTGCAAGAATTTTAATAACTTACACCTAATATCAACTCCGTATTTTAATCAGAACTAAATGATGTTGTATCAGTATGATCCTCTGTTTTAATCAGCTTAATAGATAAAAATAACTCCTATTCACTAGATTAAGATGATCGATCGCACCAGCTTTGAATCAAGGACTGTTCGTACAGAATTGTGTATGGAATTTCCATTCTTAGTGCCAGGGAAACAGGAATGAAGTACGATTTTTTGCATACTAAAATCTGACAGGTGCTCAGGGTCCAGTCTATGAATATCTCTAGACGATGTAAGCTGTACTCCGTACTTAGATGCTATCACGTGCTCCGACTCGGCCCCCTCCCAACCTGGAAGGTTACATCTGCCTTTGACATCCACCTCGCTGCTGACATCGTGGGGCATTAGGTACTCCGGAGTATTCTCCAGAACAGTAAATACTGTGGATCTTTCTCCGGTCTGGCTTGATTTGATTTGACTTGAAACAGCAGACCAGCGCCTAAAATAAGGTTATTCTTCCAGCTGGCTGACTCAGATGACCCTGAAACGCACCGCCAGTCACAGCGGGGAAACTTCAGACAAGGGGTATGGAATTAAGATTACTGGCCCCTGGCTAATTATTCATCGAGTAGTGTCTCGCCCGGTTTTTCGACCCCGGCTGTCATCGCCGGTTTCACCGGTTAGCGGACGATCTCGCGGCCGGTGATGCACCGTAAGCATGCGGATATGTCGACCGTCTGGACGGAGTAATCTGCGGAGACTGTGAGCATCGTGGTGATCGTCGATTGATATAAAGACGCGCTGCTCCCGATGTGAACAGTAACCATCCGTGCAATTCGCCTGTACACACACTCCACCAGGAACACCTTGATTGAACAATCAATCGACCGATCGATCGCCATGTCCCTCCGCTCCCTCCTCAGCCTGGCCAGCGTGGCCACTCTCTCCACCCTCGCAGCAGCCCTCAACCCCAGCTGCGCCCCCGGCGGCAATTTCGACCTCAGCTACTGGGAGTTGCAGCTGCCCATCGGCTCGTCCGGCCACCCGACAACCATCTCGTCGAGCCAGCTGCAGGGCTGCAACGGCTACCAGAACCCATCCTACTTCTACACCGACAGCAACGACGGCTCGCTGGTGATGAAGGTCCCCGGCGACCCGGCCTCGACAGGCTGCGTGACGACGCCCAACAGCCAGCACTGCCGCACGGAGCTGCGCGAGATGGACCCCTCGAGCGGCGCCGCAGCCAGCTGGGATCCCAACGCGGCGACAAACCGGCTGAGCGCGACGCTGACGGTGGTGCAAGCGGACAACAGCAAGTACGGCACGGTCATCGGCCAGGTACACATCGACGACAGCGTGTCGAGCAAGCCCGTGTGCGAGCTGTACTACTCTCAGAACGGCGACCTGACCATGGGCGTCGAGCAGACGCGCTCCGGCGGCAACGAGGTCATGACCAAGGTCGGCAACGTGCCGCTCAACACGCAGTTCTCGTACGAGATCCGCTACGAGAGCAACGTGCTGAGCGTGAGCATCAACGGCGGCGCGCAGCAGACCCTGTCGACATACCAGCTGGACGCGCCCAAGAGCTACTTCAAGGCGGGCAATTACAACCAGGGCTCGAGCCAGTCCGAAGTGCACTTTTACGAGATCAGCGTGCAGCATTAAACACTTCGATAATTGAGTCATGTATATATCGTGTGAGGAATGTACATACTGTTGAATCAAAATCTTTTCCTCTTCGAAAGCAACCATTTCAATGCCATTGATACGTATGTGTGAACATGAACCTTCATACTCCCATTTCATCTGACAGTCAACTAGACCAAAGTATTTGAAACCTGGTAGCATGAATGCCCATTAAACACCAAAAAAATTCATATATCCAGCTACTATTACTAGGAAATGACGATTCACTCATCTAATCTATTATAATATTAGACTCGACGTGATCCCATCCAAGACAAAGCAAATAAATATGCTCGGCAAATCAAATAGTTCCACATTCCTTTATCCCAGTACTTTTCACCTACGTATGTACAGTACATACATTGAAAAAAAAAATGCAATATCCACAGAATCCAGAGTCCAGCGTACGGAGTATATCCCCCCGACACTTCCCCCGTTCCCCGAGACTTAGCCCGCAGTCCGTAGCCCGTAATACCCGACTTGCCAACAGCGGTAAGTTGCAACTTTCCCGGTTCTAGGCCCTCGCCTCTTCGTGTTGTCGATTGAATCTAATCTAATCTAATCTGCAGAAATGGATTGTTTAACTAATTTACTTGACTTGACTTGACTTGAATTGGATTGAATTGGCCCCATTATTGATACTGGTTGCAATTGTTGTCGGTCGAAATGTAATTATCTAATCTGATCTGATCTTATCTGCGTAAATGGATTATCTAACTACAGTAATTGAACAAATTATTTTTCTTGCGAGTTGTCACGCTGTTGTCGATCGATAGTGTTAGTAATACTCTGTATGCATTTATGGAGTATACATGCTATGCCATGCTGTGCTGTGCTGTAAACAGCGTGGTTTAATGAATCAAGACTACTACAAGTGCCTAGGTTTATGTATAGAACCAGTTTACGTCGGCAATAATGCTATTAATCAATTAAGACTACGGTCTAGGTTTACATATAGTATCAATTATTAATTAGCAAGGCATTAAACTATCTCATATCATTGGATATCACTAGCAACAATCTAATTAAGTAATTCTCATACATGAAGACTAACATCAAACGTACTGGGTAATCGTTCTAAACATGTACATACAGACATGCAAGCAAGCCACTCCTAACAAGGTCGTCCGTCGTGTCGTATTCCAGCGAGTTCACCTCAGCCAGCTGTAGCTGGCTACTTCCCCCTCATCATCTTCCATCTCATGAACCAGCATGCAAACGGATACAGCACCATCGACGCCCCCACCCACGCGAACAAAATCCCAAAGTCGAGGCCGATCCGCGAGTGCGTGTCGAACAGGATCGTGCGCGACGCTTCGACAACTAATAGCCAGATTAGCATTCGCCAATAACAGCAGCAGAAAGAGGTTACTTACTCCGATGCAGCGGCCACGCATATCCCCACGCAAAGAACCCCGGCGCCAGATCCAGCGAGTAGAACCCCGTCGACACGTTCGTAATGACCCAAAAGATCAGCCACATCGCGCTGTACGGCTGTCCCAGGATCATCGCCATGTTCTCGCTCGGCAGCCCCAGCGCCGCCATCCCCACCCAGTTCAGCATCCAGTACACGACAAACGAGCCCTTCCCGTAGCCGTTCGGGTTTGTCGCCCCCGTCGTGCCCGGCGCCGGCGGGTTGGAGAACGGAATCTGGAACGCGAGCGAGACGAACGAGTAGCACAGCGACAGGAAGAAATACGCGACGATGTTCGACACCATGCGCCAGACGATCAGGTGCATCGGATGCAGCGGCCGGTGGTCCTTGCCCTGGACAAACAGCGCGTGGACGGGCATCAGGAACGGGAAGCTGAAGAACGAGATGATGATCAGATAGATCAGTCCGATCGTCACCGACGGCGTCTCCACCGCAGGCACAAACGGACGCAGGTCGAGCAACGTGAACCCTATGGCCGGATTCACCGCCTGCGGCACCCGGAAGATATCCTGGCTGGACGCGTTCGCGCTCAGGAGCTGCACCCAGTGCGATCCGAACCCACTGGCCACCGGGATGAGCGTGTCCAGCAGCGCCGGCAGGATGTAGCTCGCCATCGTATTCTGGTCCCGAGCCGTGTTGTAAATCACCTGCGCCGCCCCGGCAGGATCGTACGACGAGTTACCCTCGTTGACCGCGGCGCGAAGGAGCGCAGTAGCGTTGGGGTTGATGATGATCGCGACATACGCGTGCTCGTCGTAGACGCCCTGGCGGACGGCCCACGGGTCGTTGTCGAATTCCTCCGCCGACCGGATGGTCCATCCCAGGCGATCGTAGGTCGACGGATGCATATTCGCAAAGGCATTGGTGATGAACGGGCCGACAACCGGCGTCGTCGTGTTGTAGGGAGCCACCTTTCCGTCAAAGTCGACAATCCAGGTCGTCAGCGACGGCAGGTTCTGTTCAACCCCGAACAAAACGCCCCAGTAGAGCGACAGGACCGAGAGGATGAAGACCGCAAGGCCGAGGACTGATGACGGTCTGGTCAGCCAGCACAATCATCTGCGGGATGGACAGGACACTCACCGGTCAACGCCCATCGCCGCAGCACCTGCCAACGAACATCTCTCAGTTCGCTATGGAAGAATCCCACCGTGTTCGGGCGATCGGTGGACGCCCTGCCATTGGCATGGCCCGTCTCGACGCCTTCCTCTTTCGACCCTGACTGTGACGGGGACGACATGACTGCGGCTGGGCTTCTCGACGATATCGCGGAGTCTGGAGGGCTCCAGAGTCAATTGCGATGGCGACGGCGCAGGCTTCACCGGGACGATGGCAATGGAAGCAGTTTCACGAGGGCTCGTGTTTCCCAATCCGAATCCCGAGTCTGGACTCAGAGTGCGTCGTGCGCGCGGGAAATCACAGACGCTGAAGAGTGCCGGAGCATGAGATGCCTTTTAGCACAGGACCCTGCAGCTGGCACAACCCTTGGCCCCGGAGAGGCAGGCTGGGTCAACTCTCGTCATCTCGGGAACCGAAAAGTGCAGCGTGTCTGCCTGCAGTGCTGTGTGACGGTGTTGGCGAAGGAGAGGGGAGGTGATGCCCGTCTCCACGATCGACGTCATGTGTCCGGCGGCCCGCCCGTTCTGATTGGCAGAGCCTCGCCCGCCGGCGTTAATCCTTCTTAAGCCCGACGCCGATGCCGAGCTGAAGACTCGGATATTATTTCAGCTTGGCTTTCCAGCTGCAGATGACTGAGCTCTGCCGACATTCTTATGCACCAAAAGTAGCCATCAAAACATATCCCTACGACTTATCCAGCCAATCAAAAAAAATTTTCTGAGCAGCAAAGGTCAAGATCCAATGATAAAACATACTGGGTGCGGCCCACGCAACAAACAGTCCCTAGTGGTGTAGCGGTAACATAGCCGTCTTTCATCCAATCAGCTTGGAGAACACGGCCGCCCGGGGTTCGACTCCCCGCTAGGGAATTGTCCTTTCCTTTTTGCTTTTCCTTTTTTTTTTCCCTTAATTTGTTTTCTTTATTATCTGTGTCTAATCTTTTTCTGTTTGTTAGAAATAAAAGGAATGCTTGGATTGGCTACGGGGCCTATAGGGACCGTATTATTACTGCTCCGTATACGGAGTATACGAACCGAATCGGTTGGTCACGTGATCACGTCATCAGCCAATACAAATCATTACACGTCGATACACACAGGGCCAGAATCAGATAGAAGAAAAGGCTGCACGTACTTTTCATAAGCAATAGTCTGTGCAACTCTGGAATAGACAGTAAAAATTCACTGCAGACGTGTTGGACCGACGTTGCCGCCTGGAAAGTCGAGATAGGAGGGCATATCCGGCTGTGGTACAACACACCGTAGTCTTGTTCTGGACTTGGATCGAAGCTCTGATAAGAGGTGGTGGCGGCAGTAATTCTGCTAGAATCAATTATTCTTGGCTTTACTTGCGCTAAGGAATACAAATCATATCCATCGTCGCTATTGTCTCAAGACTTGGTATCCGATCTCCCTGTGAAGGATCAAAATATATAAATCCAGGCGGCCGTTGAGTACTGCGTCCACTTTGAAGATATAGATTCCATGGATGGTACGAAGGACAGTCCAGCACCGCCAAGTACTATACAGGATGATTGTTAACTGGTGATCGAGGCGAGATCTATCCCAGTAGTTATCAATACGAGTGTAATTCTTGCGTAAATGGCGTCGCCTTAACCAAGGAAGGAAATGGGAGGGAGTATTGAGCTGATCCTTTAATTCTCGACTTTCAGGTATGCGCGTGCCTTACTGAAATATTGCTCTCAAACAACAAAGATTTTCAAAATAGATACCAGAAATGCTGAGTTGTCCTTCCATGACTCTGTGCCACAGTGCCCAGGCAACGGCCTGGTCGTGAGTTGAGGGTGTCGGAGTTTCCGGGCACTTTCACATGTGTTCCTAATGACCACTTGTCGAGTAAGGAGCTGGTGTCTGATTCACCTCGATTTATCCTCTCTCCAATCGTGGTATTGCACCATGATTTGTTAATCGAGGGCATGGCTGGCTGAGTAGAAAAACTTCACGCATCATCGGCAACGATTATCTGCTCCGAGATCCTCTTACCTTTGCAGATGGACAGCTGCAAAAATAATGACCGATCACATCTTTATAATTTGTGCCTCGCGCCTGACTCGCTCGCAAAGCCTGTCAAAAGATGGGTCCACGGTACGGGACGAGCATCTGCTAGACAGAAAATCAGCTGTGTAACCATCATGCAGCATTGTTATCTCGGCCCCCCGATAGCATGTTTTTGTGGAACATCTGTCGGAGGTTGCGACGGAGATAACGCGATAGATGAGTGACGGCTGACAGTGGACTGCTTGCGGCGTAGCAGGAGGGTTATTCACGATGCAATGGCATCTGCAGAAAGGTGAGACGATCCATGCGATTCAGTAAGGCTCCAATGTTCCAACTAATCTTTTGCAGAACAAGCTTTTTGATCGAGGTCGTGAACGATCCTGCTGCTTGATGTGATACGAGGCGTAGCTGGAAGATTTATTAGGATCTGACTGTCAGGAACCCGCAGCCAGCTGGGTCTCTAAGAATGACGAAGCAGGAGAAACACGACGCAAGACGCATATATAGTCGAGATTAAAGAAATAGTCGAGATTAAAGAAGGACGTGCAAGGCTACAGATGTCAGAGCATGCATGGCCTGGCGTGAGGAGACCAATGTTCTTTACTTGTCACGGAGCAGGCTGGCTATCATGTGATACGCCACGCTCGGCTGGTGATGGAAACCTCTATGCGCCTTCGAGTCCGAGACAGTCTACCAACTATCTCACACGCAAGAATGAAGCTCCTGTCAATATTCTGGAAACAGCCCCTTCAATGATAACAGTCGTTAGCCTATCACTCAATATCTCACTATTGTCCTGAATTGGACTACCAATAGCCAGGACTGGAAGCTGACTGTCCCAGATGCACCGCGCATGCAGTCTGCAATAGAGGTGGGACTTCCGCTCGAGAACATAAGTACCGCTTACTGACTTAGCATTGTGAGACATCTCAGAAAATGGACGCAGAGACAGCAATCCCCTCCATTCACTCGAAATGTACTTCGTACCTGCTCGACTTAAAGCTCCCCACCACCCCCTACGGCCTGAGCAGCGAATACAGGAGTACAGCCAACTCATTGTACTCCATACTCGGCCTGCCAAATTGCTCTCCTCGGAATCTCCCGTCAAGCACTTAGCCGTCTCCACCCGAGGCCAGCGCTACTGTCTCCAGTCTTGCTGCCACCCGATCATAGTGCATAACATTCTTACAAACCGGTTATGTATGTACGTATTCCACAGACCCAACCTCTGTCCGCAACGGAGATGGGAAGACGTTGCCTGTCAACAGTCTGCCCATTCTCACGGTTCCTTACTTCAAGGACAAGCTGCCGCTCGCAGCCATTGGCCCGGCATTCAAAGCGATGTGCGCTATCCCTGGCGTGGATGTCAAGAGATCTACAATACGCGCTGCACGAAGTTCGTGATATTACCGAGTTTGCGGTTCCAAAGCACTGTGCGTGTTCTAAGTGGGGTTTCTCGTGCGTTGATTGGACAGCCATCCCGACACTGGCGGCTGCAAGCATGCAGGAAAGCAGGCGCCGTAGTCCGTCAACAGAGCCGCCGCGCCTCTTGAAGATATCTTTCTGGTAGAAGATAAAAATGTCGTGATTATTACATGCGTGGAAGCATCGCTTGTCTGTTGTCACCGACTTTTTGCTTCTTTCATCTGCCCGGGTCAACGAAGGGGAGGAGCTCCACAGACGGCAAGCTGGGACGACTGAGAGGGGAAAACCTTGAGCTTAACTTGTCCCTTGGAGAGGTTTAGCGGCGGGCTGATAGAATGGTTCCGAAGTTCCCGATCCAGAATCCAGAATTCCATAGTGGAGAGCCTCACGCCCGTCTAGGCACCTAAGGACTCCGTGACAGCTTCGTCCTAGCTACAAAACGAACCGTGATGGATTCGCGCGAGCACCTTGCGGTCAGATATTCTCAGGATCCAATTTTATTTTTTGAAGGACAACACGGTTGGAGAAAGTAACGGTAGCCGTTGTCGAGCTTACTCGGATCGTCCTACCGACTGCGGCGGTGTGCACAGAACCTTCCGACATCGGGATCATTCCAACTCGTACTCCGTGCGGCCCATTATTGAAAAAAAAAAGACGTGGACTTTATGGCTACGGATGGATGGAGTACACTGAAGAAAATTTTTATTGCGTCAATACCTGTGGCAGCAAGGGCTGCTTTTTCTGTTGGCTCGGATCGTTCCCGGCAGTGAGGGAGGGTTACCAACCCCTGCAACGCAACGCGCACAGGCCAGGAAAATAAATTAACTCCTGCAAGCCTAACAGCCTCGTGCATCAGCGACTACTGGCGGTTGGAGTATCAGGGCTGCTACATGTGGATAACCATGCAGAGCTTGGAGCATCATGACTATGACAGCAGTTGCCCCGAGAATCACGGTGTCCATTTCAAGTTGGATTGTCTTCGCGACTTCGTCGAAAATTGGCAAGTCTCCCCTCACTTGGAGGACGATCCCCGCACCTGAAACTGAGTGCCTAACGTCGCCTTCAATACTTGCAGCAGTTTTCCATTTCTTATGTCAGTCCAATACGGCGTACAGCGTAGACATTTGACAATATATTAACGGTCACTCAGGAGCATGTGCATCGACCTTGACCACAAAGGAAGTAGCGTTGCGCGGAAGAGGATTGGCGGAATCCTTATCATCGCCCAGACAAAAACATGCTCATCGAATGCTCTTCCACTGAGCCTATCCTGCAAGTTCCCGCGGCTTCGGCATCGTCTTGCAGGCGGTGAGCTTGCGCTACACTAGCACCGCGGACTGTCGGTCGCACGATCCTATTTACGTTCCGGTAGGCATGCAGCCTAAAAAAAGACGGGAGAAGTCAAAGAAATTACCTTAAGCTGCTCCGCTCAGGAATGACGAAACGCAGCCGGTCCAACCCACTGCGCTTTGATCTAGAAGCCAACGGTGGCAGGATCGGCCATGTGCGAGGGGCTGTTGGGCGTCATTGTTCGGGGAGATTATGCCACCGATCACCAGTGCAGTCCCTCCCTCCCAAATCGGTTATTGCACACTGTTGGGATGACGACCGAGGACTACCAGCATCCGGCATGAGCCGGAAAACTATTCACAGAAGGAGTTCGTTTTCTCTGGTTTGTTCGGACCGAACCGTGTCCGTTAAGTTTAAACCTTGATGCCATAAAATTGAGGAGTTCTTCGAGTGCCTTGACCGGGAAAATTAACTACACAATCAAGGTTTTTCTTAGCCCAATAAAGTCCAACGGTGATTTTGACGGACTTGAAACAAAATCAGAAAGTGGAATCCCAGTCTCCTTGCCCCACTGCCAAGGACATGTACAGCACGGTGGGTTGCGAACTGTCAGATAACCCTTCCGAATTGACATGCCTTACAGAGTGGTGACATATTCTGGTCTTTCTCATGCATAAGCTACCGGCGACAACAGGGATGCAGATATTAGTTTACGGTTATCTTGCGTAAACCGGCAGGTAACCGCTGGCCAATCATGCAGGAAGCATGGTGCATGCTTCTTTATCTGTTGACGGGATTATCAGACGTCGATTCCAGCCGGCCACAAGTCGTGCATATCCACTTGCCTAGTCCGATATCGCCATTGCGTGCTAACGCTCAAGGTGCTTGATTTCGTGTCACTGGAAAGGCTTGGATCCCGTCGTTGTAACGGGCTATCCATCCAACTAGCTTTGGACTCGGTACCCGACCTCCACGACTCGGGTCTATCGTGACATTTCTGGTAAATATCCCGAATTCCGATGCCTGTTCTTTGGCTTTGCTGGTAGCTTTTCTTTGATTGTATCAGCCTGACCGCTACTTTTTTATCGACCTTCTTGGCAAGGAAGCATTCCCACATGTGATATCATCGTTATCAATCATTGACTGAGCGAGTGAATATGGCTGGCGTCGCCATCCCTGAGCAGACCTTTAGCTGCAGGCCGCGGCCTAGCAAAAATGAAGACTCGAGACGAGTGGGGATTCAAGTCAATAGCAGTGCAAAAATGACTGGTTCAGAGCTCTTGACCGTATCTCTTAGACAATTTCTGCGAAGTCTGGCTAAATTAGTCATGTAGGAGGAATGAGCAAACCTATATCTACGCAGGAGCTGAAGCACAAGGTCACATTCGATTCTTTTTTTTTTCGGCGGCAACCTCGCGAGCTTCTTTTTTCCTTTTACGCTTCTCAGTGGCAGTCCTTTTTCGCTTTTTGTTCTTTTTCGAGCAAAACTTCAGAAAGAACACTGCCTCAACCAGACCGACCATGTCTCAAACGGTTACCGCCACTGCGGAAAAGCCGATAAGCTACGACATCAACATACCTTACGTCACGGTGTCTAGCGAATCCCAGAGCAAGACCAAATACCCCGAGTATTTGCCCACATGGGAGAAGATCTGGTTCGATCCGCTGCCTCCCTTTGAATACCACGACCCCGCGTTACGCGTGGAGGACAAGTCTAAGCCTAATCTGCTGCGCGGGGCGAAAGTCACGCACATTCAGCCCTGGATCGGCAGTGTCGTCGAGGGCGTGCAGCTGAGCCAGCTGTCCGACAAGGCCAAGGATGAGCTCGCTCTTCTCATCGCGGAACGCAAGGTGGTGGCGTTCCCCGACCAGGACCTGATCGATGCAGGTCCAGAGCGCCAGTATGAATTCATGCGGTATTTCGGCAAACCGAACTACCAGCCAATCTCGGGGTCCTTGAAGGGTTACCCCGGGTTCCACATCATCCACCGGGACGGCAATCTAGACGAGATCAACCGGTTCCTGGAGCAGCGCACCACGACTACGTTGTGGCACCAGGACGTGAGCTATGAGATCCAGCCGCCAGGTTACGTGATGTTGGGTCTGCTGCAGGGTCCCGAGGTTGGTGGAGACACCGTCTTTGCCGCGACAGACGCCGCCTACAAGTAAGATCCCCGTTCTAGGATAAAAAAAAAGTTTAGACCGCATGCATGACCTGCAGGGACGAGGCTAATTTCGAGGGTGATCCCCCACGCGCAGGCGGCTCTCCCCCACGTTCCGCTCTTTTCTGGACCGTCTCCAAGCTGTTCATTCGTCTGCGAAGATGATCGCCCACGCCCGTATGACGGGGGGCTTGGTCCGAAAGGATCCCGTCGACACGGTTCACCCGCTGGTGCGGGTGCATCCCGTGACGGGGGAGAAGTGCCTCTTCGTGAATGGCGAGTTCATCACCAAGATCCAGGGGCTCAAGGAGCCGGAGACCAAGGTGCTGCTAGACTTTCTCCTGCAGCACATCATCACCGGTCACGATTTCCAGGCCCGCGTGCGGTGGCAGCCGAAGACGATCGTCATGTTTGACAATCGCTCCACAATCCGTGAGTCTATCCTCCGCCCTACGTTGCTTGGTAGTTGATAAACCTGACTAATCTGGGGATGCAGACACGGCGGTCGTCGACTATTTTGACGAAGAGCACGGCGCTAAGCCCCGGCATATCTTCCGGCTCTGCGCACTTGCGGAGAAGCCGATCCCTGTGTCTGAGTGACGGCGTTTCTCTTTTGGAGTTTGATGGGTTTTCTTTTAGCGGGCGTTGGATGGGATTTGGATTTGGTTTTTCTTTCTTTTCTAGTTGTTTCTTTTTATCGGACACATAGACCCTAGACTAATTCTGGTTTGATTCCTATTGATGGGCCCGCGACTAATTATTATTTTATGTACGAGTCACGTTAGCTAATAGAGTTTCTCTACGTCTATGATTTTGCTGCGTAAGAGCAAGATGGTAAATGTCCACGTGCTCATTGGTGCTCATCACGTGTCATGTAGTCTTAAAACCCCAATCTCATCTACACCAGAACTCTTCAGCCTCATCTCCGTTTAAACAGCAGTATAACAGTTGCCACACCCGCCCTGATCTTGTCGCCGGACTCAGGACCCAGAGCCTCGCGAACACGCCGGATGGTCTTGACGACGCAGTCCTCGTCCGTGTGGGCGAGCTCGGGATGCGCGTCTCGCCATCTCGTCACCATGCTACCCGTCCCCAGCACCCTTTCGAGCACCTCCAGACTAACCTCGCGGGAGCCGCAGAAGAAGTCCTCTCCGTCCGTCAAGACGCCGTCCCGATTCCACTCGTGGCGCACGAACTCCGACTCCGGGAACGCCGGCACGGGCGGATCGACGTTCCACGGCAAGGGCAGATGGTCGTACATGTCCCGCGTCAGGCGATTCGGGGGGAGCATGTACGGCTCGAGGAAGTCCTTTTCTAGATGGCCCAGGGCCTGCTGGACGGCGGCAGCATTGGGCGTGGATGGGTCTGCGACGTCAGTTTGTGACAAGGTGATTGGGATACAGAACTTACGGCAGTAAAGCGACGAGCACGTCCACAGGGCCACCGTTCCTCCGGGCCTGACGAGTCGGGCTGCCTGGTCCCAGAACTCAGGCATGGAGAACCAGTGCGCCTGAATCGATTCAACGTCAACATGTCTCTACAACAACAACAACACTGATCCGGATGTCAGTATGAGAACCCACCGCCGTGGCCACAGTAAGCAAGTCAACACCCCCCTGCTCAATCCTCTCCACCGTATCAGCGATCCTCTCCGCCTCCGAAACCTGGAACCTGACAGGCTCTCCCGAGGCCGTCACGCCGCCCAACCGGCGCGCCGTCGCGATCATCTCCTCGCCGGCATCGAGCCCGATGGCGTGCGCGAACGACGCCGCCAGATCGCGCGTTGCCTTCCCCGGCCCGCACCCGACGTCGACCAGGACGTCGAACCGTCCGCCCGTGGAGGCGTGGTGCCGGAGGATGATGTCGTATAGCTGTGGCGGGTAGGACGGGCGAGCCTCGGCGTAGCGTTTGGCTTGGTCGCTGGTGTAAAAGCGGAAGGTTGGATCGGAGGGTTTGGAGTTGGTCATGTTGAAAATAAGTAGGCGGGAGGATTATTTTTTTAATTTCACTGAAATGATTCCCAAGCTCAGTCCGCGAACGATGGAGATATGTACCAACGTGTACTACTGTATGTTTATTTATTTAATTCAGCTGCCTATGACTCAGCCACCTAGGAACATGCGTACTCCGCATGTAGTCTCTCCATCACCGGAGTTAAAACGCGCAATCGCCTTCTCCTACTCCGCAGGCAAAAACATTCCAGCGATGAGTTGACCAACCAGGTAGTCTTCTCGAAAAAAAAAAGGGAAATTGACGAGAAAGAGGAGATGGAGCCCTGGTTAGTCGGCTTCGAAGTTAATCTTTTTCTTTAAATTGTAGGCAGCAATCTAGCAATCTGTAGATAGGAGTTAGGTAGGTAGTTTTAGTGTCCGTCGGGAACGGAAACTGCTGTTTGACACCGAAATCCGTGCGTGAGAGCAATCCAATCCGATCCAACAGCAGAAAATATCAACGTCATCAATCACTCGTTCATTCGTCTGGTCTTAATAAGTAGATGGTAGTCAAAAGCAGGGAAAGAAGGGTTAGTGCCTCTCTCCTATCGGACAGGACTGTAGATTGCATGTAGATACCTGATGTAAAAACTGATTGGCGGGATTGTGATGTATCTCAGGCAAGCCAGACAAAAATATACAGTAAGTAACAACAAAACTGTCCCATGGATAGACATAAGTAAGTAGACCCAGATCAGTCTTCAGTAATGCTCAATTCAGATTGATTTTTATTTCACCAAAAAGCGATAATAATAGACCATTCCATCTACGTCTAATCTCCGCCAATCAGATTTCGTCCCTGTCCTCGACACAACTGATTGGACCAATCAAATCACAGGGACAGACTCAAACAACAAAAATGCAGTAGATACAGGAATGCTCTTCTCTTCTGTTCATTCATTCATTCATTCTTCTTTTCTTTCTGAGAAAAAGAAATGAAGCAAAAAGAATCTATAGATGCAGGTTTTATTGTTCTGTTGTAGATATAATACGTGTCGCGTGCATATAGCTCGTCGACATATATACGTATCCGCAGATATATATCTCTAGACAACTCCAACAACATCCACGTCGACATTGCTACGCAGATCATTCCTCGACAAGCGCGTACGGACTTCGTCGCTTAATATTTCGTTTTTTATTTTGATATTTGGTAATTTTATTACCAGGGAGGATGTGGTGATTATTCTTCAGTCATGCAACATGCTGTCGGGGTTGGATCGAACTACTCTACGGACTGTAGAGCAGAGAGAGGAAGATAAAAAAAAGAAAAAGCCGACTGTCAAAACTCGTTATTTCTACTCTTTTTAATCGTCGAGGATAAACCAGCGTACAGACATGCTGACAGGTCCGTGCCTGTACGATAAATTCCCACTATCCTGTCTTCTTCTGTTCTACTACGTAATTCACCTAGTGTATTGGAAAATATTCGAGTATGGTTTACAACGGCACTGGGTACATGACACGCCTCACAGTGAGGTTCGATAGCACCGATCGTTTGGTTGTTGACGATTACAACTTGGTTGGCACACCCTTCACCTTACGGAGAACTGGATAGGAAAAGTCGTGGTGCAGCCTGATCTACGCCATTTTGCTTTGGCAACAAAATGAAGGGAAAAAAGGTAAAAAAGCCGTATTTCTTTACTCAGCTCGCACTATACAGCTTCGAAGAACTGTATAAAGAAGTTCAAATTCACAGAATCGAATCAAATGAAATCAAATCAAATATATGTTAAATCCCGAACAATCACAAAGTGACGCTGACATATTGTCGTGATCGTTGTTCCCGTGGAACATCACTGTCTCACTGCGATACTGGAGCAGTCATCACAGCAGGCTGTTAATAGGGATAGTGGTGCAACCCAAGTTGAGGTTGACGAGGCCAATCTGTGGAAAACCATTAGTCATGCCATCTCATGGAATACGACAGATGTGGTCAGCTAAGCTTACCTGCTGGGCCTTCTCACAGCAGGCCGTCACACCGCTGGAGCACTTGTTGCCGTTGGCGAGGTCCAGAGCAGAGGTCGTGATGGGGGTGCCTGACAAAAGCCTGTCAGAATTGTCCACTATGTAGGGCTGGGTGGCTACTTACAAGTCAGCCCGACTTGGCCCTTGCTCTTCGCCTCCTGGTGGTCAATGCCAGCAGCGTTGAGCAGCTGCGTCACGCGCGAGTTGCTTGTGTCGGAGACGGTCTCGCAGCAGTGCAGCGAGGTGTTGGCGCCGCACTGATAGTTGTTGATCTCCTGCTTCTGCTCAACCGGAGCCGGAGCAGGCACGGGCACAGGCACAGGCTGAGGAGCAGGCGCAGGCGCAGGAGCAGGCTGAGGAACTGGAGCAGGGCAGGCCTCCTGGCGAGCGACAATAGTCTCGACAGGGACGGCAGTGACAACGGCCGCGAAGAGGGCAGCAGAAACGCAGGCGATGTTGAAACGCATTTTGAGAGATGTGATTATTAAACTAAGGATATAAACCCGAAATGTAGTAAAAATAGCTCGAACGAGTGGTCGCAGTTGGTCGGAAAGAGTGTATGAACAAAAGTGTCGTACTAGATGTACTAGAAGTGATTTGCTTGTGATGTTCTTGTTGATGATGAAGGAGAGTCTTGGACAGGGCTTTCGGCGGTTTATATAGACTTCTTTCGTCAGTACTTTCGAGTCTTTGCCAGTGTTGTAGATAGCTGCACCTCGACGATGCAGTGAGATGAGTTGACTCGCCAATCATGTAAAGTGATGCAAGGAGATCTGGGGAAGCTCAGTGAAGCCACACGAGCGCCCTGTCTCAGCTGCAGCAAGGAGATCGGGCTGTGATGAAATTAGATCCAGAAGCAGCCACCGGTGGATTACTGCAAAAGTATCGATTCAAAGGCTTCTATCGGTTGACTGTACTGTACTGTACATGTCATTATCTGGCAGGCTCAAATACACATATTATAGTTATCTATAAATTGTCCTTGGTGTACTGGAGGTTGACGCTACATTGTATACAGAGATAGTCGCCATCAACATAGACAGCTACCTGCTTTGTCATTATCCTGCAGAGATCTCACTGATCGAGTACTTCCTGTACTCCGTATTAGGTGTGGAGATTCTTGACCCGCCAGTTCGGCCAGCGATCGGTTGTCCCTGCCGAGTCAATCTACTAATAACAGCAAAGCAATAAAACAGAAAATAAGATCAACCAAAAATTAAATCTATGAGAGTCTGCTGTAGTCAGCTCGAATCGGTTCAGTGCCGTCCTCGTACCTGGCAGCTTGCCGCATGGGGAAACAATAGTGTGGTGGATAGGGCTGCAAGGGGCGCCCCCAGCAGATCGGTCTGACAGGTCCGATCTGCACCGGCCAAGATGCAATAAACGCCTCCGCCACGATGCATGGTTGGCGGTTATTGAATTAACTGTCGTAGACACTTAGTTTCCTTGCTTGCCCCAAGCTAAGCTGCTTTAATATTGCGGGGGTTGTTATTCTTACCTTTTTTTGGTCGAACTAAATACATGTTCATGTATGTATGTACGGAGTACCTTACTCTACTCCTCTGCTGTGTGTCTCACTTTCTGCTTGCTGCGCGGTTTCTAAGGCTGTGTGAGACAGTGGATATAGACCTCATGCAGTGGAAATGGAATCGGTCGAGAAGAGACGTAGCAAATGCCTGGATTGTGAGTATTATTCTTGCCTCTATGTGCGATAGATGGAGGAACCGGGTTCAAAGTTGCTCGATACCTTTTCGACATTCTTCTTTTCATTTCTACTCACGGTCGAGAACAGCGACTGTAAACAGGATAGCGAGCCTTGCTAATTTAACCAAAGTTACATATAGGTGTATCTTCTTGATAGCAAACTGTAAGCGCTACAAATCTGCCGCCACTAGCCGATGATAAATGCGAGAAAGAAATCAGCAATAGCAGAGCTGGGTATCTCGAATTATTAGCTTGTTTGAAGCCAATCGAAATCGTGTCCTCCTCACTGTAGTCCGACCCTTGCTTTGTACAGGAAATTCGACCGCAGTGAGTCATGAGTAGGACAGTCTTTGATGTGGAATAACTGCAAGGTACACAGTATGAATGTACTGTACACTCGTAAGGAAATGTTCATCGATGATCATGAGTTCACAACAAGTAATTCTTGATGAGTGAGACAGAAAGGCATGTCCTCAGGCATTGGCGGTCTGTATTGTCAGGTTGCTGACTGCTGAATGAATTTTGCCTGGTCAGCAGAGATATTATCTCATCGAGTAGTCAGTGGTCATAGCACAAGGTGACTGGATATCGAGTACGCTGAAGAACCAAGAGTACCTAGTCAGCGTTCTCCGTTCGTATTTTCCCTCAACTCAAATCGGGGCAATTTTGGTATATAATAATCGCTCAACAAGACGATAATATAGCAACTATAAGATTTTTCTCTCATATAAAAAAAATAGAGATAGTTATCTAAATTGAATATTTTAGTTATTTTCCACTAAAAAAAATAAGTCATTCGACTTGAATCGGAACAGATTCCATGCTCTCGCCAGTTTTCGATATACATTCAAAGTATATAGTTTCCGCAGACTGTACTCTGGTATATTAGAAGCCAAACACTACACCATTTCCAACAGATTGATACAGTGAATAATTATTCAAGAGAAGATCCCATTTTTTATTTTTTTTCTTTTAGATATTTTTACAAATATATATATATTTTGGAAGTGTTATATAGCCTTCATATAGAATTCTTTCACTCAGAAGTCAAAATATATGATTTTTAAGATTTATATACAACCCTTTTCCTTCTTCGAATTAGACATTTAAATGTATAATTTACAATCAGTTTCTTTAAACGAAATTATTTAACAAGAGAAAAAAAAGTTAGCCGAGCAATTAAGGAATTATTTTTCTGGAACGAAATATTTAAGAGTTTGCTCGGATTTCCAACTAAGAGAAAAAGATTGCCTTCAGGGCCGTAGATTATCAAGTAGAGTTACCAATGCAATAGCAGTTGATTGCCTCCTACAACATATCCTCGCGGAGAAAAGGGGCCAGTGACTATCAGTTAACTTTCAATGTTGTTAACCACGAACACAAAATTCATCTACGTGAAATTCATCTTCATGATTCTACAAGATCTAATAGGTCCAAGATGAATCGAATTGAATAGTATTAGTATTAACGAGAAGTACCGCCACATTATATCCATTCAAAATTTTAGCCTGCTTACCTATCTACCAACAATACTGGACAGGCCAGACGAAGAACAAAAACCAAACATGGTATATGAATACATCACAATCCACCCATTTACAGCTGCATGACCACAGCCGCAAGAGCACCCAGGGCCATGGTGAAGCCGGACAGCTTGACGTTGTCGGCCGCGCCAGTGAAGGGCGTCAGAGTCGAGCTTGGAGAGGGCTTGCTCCAGCTGCCAGTCGCAGCAGCCGCACCGCTGGGGGCAGCATAGCCAGATGAGGCAGCAGGGGTGCTGCTAGGGTAGTAGCTGCTGGGGTAGGTGACGAACGTCGGCACAACGCTGCCGCTAGGAGACACAGCAGGAGGGACAGCCGGAGCGGACGACGGAGCAGCAGGGTAGGAGCTGGCCACGACAGGGACGGTAGTAGCGGGCGTAGACACGGGAGCAGGAGCAGGAGACTGAGTTGGCACCTCAGGAGTTGGAACCCCAGGAGTTGGCACGACAGTCGCCGTGGTGGCAGAAGCAGGCGCAGGCACAGTGCCCGTCTCACACGGGGTGCTGGTCTCCTCCGGCACAGGGACGCTGACAGACGGAATAGTTGGAGTGCTGACTTCGGCCGTGGAAGAGCCGCTTCCACTGTGGGAGTAGCAGTCTGCCTCTCCCAACACGGCGAGACACAGGTTGATGGGGATGTCGATGAGACCGCCCGGAGCGGTGGCCTTCTGTTGGCATTCCGCCTCTCCCAGCACAGCGAGGCAGATGTTGAGGGGAACACTGATCAGAGAGCCGCTGCTGCCGGTCGACGAGCTGACCTGGTTGCACTTGGCCTCGCCCAGAGCAGCAAGGCAAGTGTTCAGCGGCACGTTGATCAGGCCACCGGGGGCCGCGGTCTGCTGCTTGCAAGCAACCTCACCCAGGACGGCGCCACAGAGACCGACGGGGATGCTGATGAGGCTGTCGGCCTGCAGAAGTCAGTCGTCGCTCTCAGAAGAAGAGAGGGAGATCGTCCTACCGAAGCAGAGGCCACGAGGGCCAGGCCAGACGCAAGAACAGAAACAGATCGCATATTGAACAGGCAGGTTCAAATATGACACAAATTGAAGATTACGGGTATAATTCGAGAGTGCAAAGACTATCGACAAGAAACGAACGGAAGCTGAGACCAGCAAATGAGCGACGACGAATATCAACAAGCTGAACGAAAGTGAGGGATTGAAAGTGATGCTGAACGGAGCGAGCAGAAACAACGCGAGCCTGGGGCGTCGATCGAATTTGTATCCATCTCGACCGCCCCTGGACAGGGCTTCTTTGCAGAGAAACTCCCATCAGGCCAAGGGTCCAGGCCACGCTAGCGATCGAGAGAACAAAGCCTGCGGCCGTTACACAGCCAGTGATAGTTGCTGGCCCTGCAGCTGGCCAGAACCAAGAGGCTGCATCGTCCAGTCTAGGCCCTTGGCCTGGCCCATTTTCCGATTCCCCAGTTTGACTCGTGCCGCGGGGGATATTCAGATCTGCATTGCATGCTTCTGTCTGCCGCGTACACAAACATGTAATAGTTCCAAGTTGACTGCGTAATCTGATAATCTGTCAAGTGGTCCGTCGTATGACAAGCTACATAGGTCGGTAGAGTGTCTGTCAAGAAACTCACTGCTCAGGTGTGTCGACCTGACGGGTACCTGCAGACACATCCAGGTCAGGACTGTCATCCATCAGATTCCCCCATACGGTATACTCCGTACTCATGCAGCGACTCGGCGTGCATATCCAACTATTCTCCCTTTGCCGACGCCAAGCACGACCGGTCTCCGACCCCTGTCACGCAGCATTAGCGAGCAAGCTGCGGCGCCGACAGAGACGATCTTACCCAGGCACAGACCGAGTCGTTAACGATCATCGGGGTGCTTACGAGTAGTCCTAGACGACTGCTGTCTCGAATTTTCCCGTAACGGGCAAGAAATAAAGGGGCTGTGGAGAAGCTTCGCCTGGCGTCCAAACTGACTTCGCGCTTGGCAGGCTCGCCTTGCCGTTCTGGCGTGAGATCGGCACGTCTGGCGGAGATCACTTATCTAGGCGTGCGTTTGCCGGCAATAATTAATTAGTCGGTCCTGTCAGTGGGCCGCCAACGGTGTTTTTGTTGATAGTGCCGACTTCCGCGGAAGTTCTTATCTGGATGCAGTGCTCCTTGCTCCGTACAGATACATACAGAGTACAGACTGTAGACTAGCTTACGAGATGTGAAGTCCTCTCTGATACAGTCAGTTCAGTACTCTATGGAAAAGTGAGATGGCAACGATGTACGGAGTAATGTGTTCAATGTTAAGAGCTCTGTTTTACTGTCATGGTTATACGCCATGGCCGGAATCCAAATTGCCATCCAGACCAGCTGATGATGCATGCAACTGACCGCCAGAAAGCTCCTTTTCGACACTATCGCCTCTAGCGTCGTTTCCACCTGGATGAACGCAGTGTCAGCCTTACATGTACGGAGTACGCCATGAACTGCTTCGCCAGAGATTATCACTAGCAGTTCGAATTCAGAATCAATGGCGGATGGACTCAACTGATAAACCAAGGAGAGTCTTATCGGTGACTGTCCTCCGTACTATTGGTCATTATTCGAAAGATACTCGTCGATTCCTCCTGAATCGCGCGCTCTAGCTGTGCAGGTATCTCGCCGTGGTTGGTTGATCGCAGTTCAATGTTTCACCTGTACCACCATCTCTAACCGTATCTGTTTCTTAATTCAGCCTCGCAGTGAACAGCTTGCACATGCAGTGTTCTGTTTGAAATATTTGAAATACCTGCATGCTAATCCACCGGCGGGGTTCGGAGGATACAATCTCCGGACGGTGGACCTGTCACATCCTGCGTCAGCTGGGGATAGCTGCCTTGCGTCTTCTGAAATAGGATCACAGTTGTAAATCCAGCAAATTGAGATACGATAAGAGTTTACTCCTACATATACTCCGTGGATACTAAAAATAAACAGGGCAGGTAAAGGCGGCAATGTCGCCGATTCCTGGTCATAGGTGACACAGGTTATCGACTTGATCTCAACAGCAACAAAGCATCAAAATGACAAGTGAAATACCTTATTTGTGAGTGTTCTATCAAAGACTCAGTTCATAGTCCGATCGCGGATCAAGAGCTGCTCACAGCACAACCTGAGCGCAATCGATTGATCGTGACAATTTCAGAAACATCACCAGACCACTCATGGTTTTTGCAAATTATGGACTCTTCTCGAGTCGAGCTATGGACAACAGGGATGAGGTCGCAGGACCATATCTCTATTGGTGGTGTTTCTGAGATTGACCGCCTCCTTGCTTCGACTTCGACTGTTCGGATGAGGCATATCAACGCAAACGTGAAGACAAGGTAAGGCACTTCGACAATAACCAGATCGCGATTCAGTTTGACGAGATCAAGCTCTGGTCGAATTGTCCTCTGTGACAATTGTAGGACATATCTGAACGCAACGATTTCATCGCAGGGATAACTAATAACTACATGTAGCCAGGTCGAACAGCGGCAAGGGTCAGGAAGTTCAAGAAACTCCAATAGATTGCAGAAGAAGAGGATATTATGTAGTGGACACTCCTTGACACTAACATGGGTCTGATCTATTTCTTCATATCCTGTTCATGTGTAGCTTTGCGTATTTTGTTAAGCACAGTATGATTTGATCCACTAGAAGATTTTTTTTTTAACAGTAGTGTTCTGAAATAGTCAGATTACGCTACATTTCAATTAGGAGCCTGGAAGCTTATACATAGAAGGGACAAAATCAACAAACTAAATAATTAACAAAAAAAAAAGATTCTGATGCCCACAGTTTTACATACATGCTTTGCTTCTTTTTAACAGAATAGATTCCTTTTTTAAACAAGTCGCTAAAGTAGGTAAGTCCTCAGATACAGCTAGAATATATGCTAGAATATATGCACATACCCTTGCAAGACATGTGTCTCAACAGAGTTCTTAATCCAGAACTATAAATAGCAACAATCGGTTCCTTATTTCTTTGTATATTTGTGGTTGAATCGATTCTGTTTGTCTTTTTGATTACCTTCCTGATCTCTGGAGCAAGAGATACAAATAACAAAACTGAAAAAAAAAAGACTCAGTCACCTGACCAATGCGAGGCTTTATATTTTTAAAGCTTTCACCTGATCATATCTTCCAGGTAAAAATAAGAACCGAGACAAAAGTCATTTAAAACCAATCACAGTGCAGGGCGAGTCCGTCGGAGGGAATCGGATAGTCTCCAGGATACATTAAGTTACATGTTCTAGGTGATCTAGGCGCCGATCGTGCGGGGAAGTGTTATGACATCTCGAGTTACATGTCCACGAACATGAACTAAGCTCTGGACCCCGGCGAAGAAGCCGGCAGTGCCGGGGGGCTGTCCGGATTTGGTGGCGTTTTACTATGGGCTGCAGATTCCGAATATCGTAACTGATGCGATCATCATCGTCACGCCGGTGCGGATGGTGTGGATGTTGCCGATTTCTAATGGCCAGAAAGTGCTTGTGTTGGGCATTTTTATGTTGGGAATTTTGTAAGTGAGCTAGAAGCCATGCATAATGCCTATGAGACATGAAGCTGACGCGACAGAACGTTCATCTTCGACGTTATTCAACTAGTCGCTCTCATCGATTTGGCCAGCGCTGGCGATGACGTTACCTGTATGGATCCAGCTCCTTGTACTGTACCATGTTCTTATCTAACGACTGCAGACAACCAAGTCGCCAGCAGCGTGTGGACGTCCATCGAACCCGCTGTCGGCATCATGGCGGCCTGTCTCACCAACATGCGTCCTCTTTTCAAGGCCGCATACAAGCGATTGGGTTACGATCGCTGTGCAGAAGGGACCGGTTCGTCGACGCCTGAGCGGTTGATCAGGGAGTACGAGAAGAGAAATCGATTTGCGTCAGAATGTTAATCAACATGCTAGCTTGAAGAGTAGTGGATTTGTAGTCTGGACCTCGTTTACGTTCTTCAAAGGAAGCTGGAACATGGTTTCTTGCATACACTGTATTACGGAAGGACATTCTCCAACAATATATAGTCTCATTAAACCAGTCTAACGATTGAATAAAAACACACTCTATAAGCAAAGGATTGACAAGTCATCCACCTCGAACTAGTTAACCAACAGCCATCCTCCCGAACGCCCTTCTCACGTTGAGAAAACCATGGCAGCAATCAGGTTCGTTCTGGAAAGAATATGAGCATGCAAACAAGTAACCCCTATGGAATGAAAATCACCCATACCGTACAGTTCACATCGATCATCTACAGAGACAGATTAAATCTATGCCGAGCACGTAATAAAAACGAGGTCCGTCCCAAACGTGCACTCCTTGGTCAGGTTGTCGCCCTCGGGGATCGTGCCGTTCGGAACAATGATGCTCTCGCAGCCCTGGTCCGACGGATGAACGACGAGCTTCTTCCCCGAGAACAGGTCGCCGTTGTTGTCGGCCAGGTTGTAGTAGATCTGCGAGCCCGATACCGTGTACGAAAAGGTCGTCACCGGGCTCCCGTCGTAAAGCGCGTTGGGGTTTCCGCCCACCTTGAGCGAGACGCCCGAAGGCACGCTCTCGATCGGCGCCTTGTACGCCTCGCCCGCGGGCACGGTCTGCACGGGGCTGACGGTCGAGTCGACGGACCAGAGGTAGAGCTCGTTCTCGCAGTCGTTGAGGACCCAGGCCTGGCTGGCGGCGCTGGCGAGGGGAGTCAGAGCGGCAGCAACAGCGAGGAAGATACCGGTGAAGCGCATTTTGTATTGTTGATGTTTCGAAATGAATTGATAGATTGGTAGCGCAGTGGATAGATGGATAGACCGGTAGATCGATAGGAGATTTGATTGTTTGTATTCGCTTTGGAGTGCTTGCTTGATGATGGATCAACTCGAACGGCCATCCATCACGATCCTTATATAGTTTTGATCATGAAGGAGCGGTCTCCATGTTCACAACACAGAATCGCTATATTTAGCCAGCTATGCCTCGCTTATCTCCGGGTCATCCGGGGATGACGTGTGGACACGCCCTGCGGTGTTGTCTGTACAGTAGTTCTCATCTTGGCGAAGTCAGGCCTCTGCATACATCGGAGTGAGAAAGCAGTCAGATTCGACTTTCCGAGTGCTGGATCTGGACTAATTCTTTCCCTGAACAGGAAATTCGAGGCAGTGACACTGGGAAGGCCTGACAGCAAAATTAGTGCGATACTGGTATGATATTGGGAGCTGATCCGTCCTTTTGTAGACGACCGAACGAATGACCGTCTATCCGCCAAGTCGACGACTGAGACCTGGCCTTTGAAGGGAGAGCTCGATGCAGCTATCGAAAACGCGGGGTTAGGCCATGCTGTCTGCAGCGTCGATCCTTTCCTAGCAGAGGTGAGGCAGCCATGCCGTAGTTAAAGACAGCCATGGCGCAGACCTTAAAAATCCCACGTATGGGAGACTGACTACTGACCGCTAAAATCAGCCAGTTTTCAAAAATGGGTTGTGTACAAATCGCTGGGAGCGTGCTGGCGAGATGGTTGGCCAGGTGTCATCGCCGGAGGGCGTTAGGCGTCCAGACTCCGGCCAGCCACGATCACCTTAAACAGACTGACACTGCCCTGCGGCTCAGCTGGCTGCTGCTTCTGGTGACTTTGACTGGGACTTGTTTAGCTGAGATGTTGTACCCGTCGAGTACCGTGTGAAGTGTTGGCAGAATGATTATTCGTAGTATTGGACTGTTCAATTACATCGCTGTAGCCGATTACTAAATTAAGCGAATCTAGATGTAAGCTACTGGCCAATCACGTTCTGCGGCGTTTGTTGGGAGACGTCGCCTACTAGCAAAAATAAACAAATAAATAAAAATGGAAGAACCAATAGAAGAGCCTAAGAAATAGACAAAGAAGTACAGAATGTGCCAGTTCACTCTTTACAGAAAATCTAACATGTCTTTGTACAGAAAATCAGATACAACGTCCAGACGAATACTCCGTATCATTGTCATTCCTACAAGGAAGTTATACCCATGTACGACCGGTACATAGAGAATGTCTGTTTGTATCAACCAATTCTCAGCCCTAGATATCCCTGTTTACACAAGGTATGTAACTGATTGTGTCTTGCAAGGATACAGCGCTGGAGCTGCCCAGCTGTTAAGTAAGAAGCTTTGATCAAGTTCATGCATGGTCGAAGAACTACCAAGCAAATGAGCGGTGTAGAATAAGCTAACAATAAGCTATTGACTACTGCCTAATCTCCATATAAGGCGAGTTTGGGAGTACGGAGTATTAGGCGTTCATCCTCGTTGTGGACGCTATACTAATTTTAATACTGATGTTCTGGAATTTGATATAGCCATTTGCCGTATCAGGTTGTAGGACAGAGAGCAAAAGTCATAAGGAGGTAGTCATTTAGTCTGCCTTGATATTGATACTCACGTTAATATTAATATTAGCTACCTACGCTGGTATAGAGGTCCGCCAGATGTAGTAGAACGTAGAAGTTTATAACTTAGAATTAAAAAAAAAAGGCAACAATAAGAAGAGTCTCAGGCTAGGCGCCCACCGAGCATTACTGACTGATGCAAATAAAGTCGATACTGTCATGGATGCACGCCCTACTAGACTCTCGTAAACTGGGCTCGATTCAGTGCATCTCCAGCACCACGTCATGCCCGGAATCATCACTGTCGTCTGTATTACGGAACGTGTATAGCTTCTGCCTTCAGATCGTCATCTTCGGCCTCCCGCAAGGGCGTAAGCTGCTGAAGGCCCGCTGCAGCTGCAGCCCTGGGCACCAGCCACCAATGTCGCGGCCGCTCAAATATCCAGCTAATCTCCTCGAGCGACCTGCCGCTCGTCTCCGGGAAGAGAAAGTACACTGTAGGCAGGACAAATGCCCCCGTCACGGCATAGATGATGTACGTCCGATAACCGATGTTGTTGAAGCAGATGGGCGTGATCTCCGCGATGACGAAGTTGAAAAGCCAATGTGTCTGCGCCACGTCAGTCAGGAACATCCTATCTATCACTAACCAAACCCAACCAACATAGTATGTTCAGAGGTGGTATGGTCGAACTTACAGCAGTCCCGACAGCAGCGAGATGCACCCGCAAATGCTGTGGAGAAATCTCCGCAGAGTACAGGAAATTCGCACCCAGAAACCCCAGCGGGAAGAAGCTCATGTACAGGAAGAGGAAGAACACCGCAGCCCTCCCTGCCGCAGGGGACGAGATGTGCGACACGGTGATCGCGAGACAGATCATGGACACGCTCATGCCGAATCCAGACACCATGAACAGCGGCTTGCGGCCGAAGCGGTCGACGGTCAGGAACGCAAACGAGGCCGTGACGATCTTCCAGGTCAGCACCCCCGCAGCAAGCAGCGAGGCGCTGTGGCCTCGAAAGCCGAGCGACTCGCTGAAGATGGTGGTCGCGTAGTACGAGATGACGTTGGCGCCGGTCATCTGCGCGTTGAAATTGACCAGAAAGGCCAGCACGGTCCGGTAGAAGAGACGCTGGTGGCCTATCGTGAAAAGCAACTGGAAGCCGGCGTCGTGCTGTTTCTCGGCTTCGCAGGCCTGTCTGATCGTGTCCAGCTCTTGCGTGAGGGTATCATCATCAGCTGGGCGATCTTGGAGGATCGATAACACCTCTCTAGCCTCCTCCATCCGCTGCTTCTGAACGAGCCATCGGGGCGACTCCGGGAAGCAGAATGCGGAAGCCATCAAGATAGCAGTGAAAATGAGTGGAATGGCCAGGGGCAAGCGCCAGCTGACGGAGCTGTCCTGGACGAAAGACAGGCCATAGTTGACCCACGCCGCCGCAGCGATGCCCGTCGCGATGAACGAACCCAGCACGACGACGTGCTTACCCCGACTCTTGGGCTGGGAGGTCTCTGACTGCCAGACCGGGACGATCGTGTTGACGCTGCCTACGCCAAAGCCGGAGACGAGCCGGCCGACGATCATCTGAGGCAGTCCATACGACGATGCCTGCAGTATTAAACCGATACTGGCAGTCAGGGCGCTGATTACGAGAGTCTTTCTCCTGCCAACGCGGTTGCCGATGGCGGTGCATGAGAGCGCACCAAAGAGACAGCCAAGGGTGTATATGGCGACGACCGTCTAGAAAGGATCAACCTGTCAGCTGTGACGATAAAGGGAGAGGTTGCAAGACTACACCTTGGACAGTTGCGTTATGCGCTTTGGTAGCGCCTTTGGTATTCGTAGTGTCAATCTGGGGGAAGGTCTTGGTGAACGAGGCAAAGGCGAGCACTCCCCCGAGAGAGGACTGGTTGTAGCCAAACAGCAGGAATGCAGGCAGGACGACCAGCACGATGCGAGCTGCTGCCAGCCTTTCTCCTCGCAAGCTGAGATACCGAGCCATGGTGACAAGATCGTAGGTACTTCGCGCAATCACCGTTCAAAAGAATGAGTCTCGCCATGGCCGCTGATGAGGAGAATATATACAGCTCTCCGCATGGATAAACTATCGACCAGAGATGCAGTCTGGGGAAGTGGGGTTGGACAAGCACCAAGTACAACTCTACGCCGTCTTAGCTCAGTCTGGGGTCTGGGGAAGTGGAGATGTCAACTGCAGATCCCTGTCCATGGCCCAGCATCATTTAGCCTTAATGATCTGCCGGTCTACACATACTAAGATGGGAATACTTGCAGTGACGATGTACAATCTCTGTCAAAATCTATCGTCCGTAGGTGTCTCCTGTCTCTATTGAAGTTCAAACTGGAATGATACAAAAGAGCCGTAGAGGAAATGACAAGTGAAACAAGAGTAATGCTGTATATATTGACGAGGCCAGGTAGACACTTCCAACAGCTCAGGATTGCTATGTTATGTCTTTCCCAGTCGAAACAGTCTGGACAGCGGAAGAAATATTTCACGTCTGGTTGTTCCACCAAGCCATGCTAGACTTTTTTGCAGTGTGACTGAGGCGCGCATACGTAAGCAAAGCTGAATTTGGTAACATTGAAAAGTGGCCATCTATCCTTGTTACTATTCCTGCTATGTCGAGCGGGGGCATAATTCTGTCTCTTGTTTCAGACTCCTCCTGAACTACCAGCAGAGAAAGAGGAACCTTCACTGTCAATTGGGTCCCACAGCAACCGCCGACATGAAGCAGTAAAAGCGTCGTAAAATATCCTATGTCGGAAAACAACCTCAAATCGGCTAAGCAGTCCGTAGAATACAGTTGGAATTTAGCGCGTAGGCCTTGTGGAATTCTCGTTTAAAGGCATGCTGCACAATATAGTCGAGGGATCCCCTACCAAAGAGAGACGAACCCTTCCAAGAAGAAAAGAAGAAAAGAAGCCCTTCAAAGATGGAATGTCTCTATATCAAAAGCAACCAGATAAGGATCAACGCAGAGTTGTCTGCACGCCGGATTCACCATTGCAGCGACATTAATCTATTAACCTTTACACAAATTCAAGCGCATAGCATACGTTGTAAATCCTTTCTGATTTCTATTTTATTTATTTAGATCCAAAGATCATTTCCATACGTCTCATAGTTGACAGCGGCCAAGTAACATGAACTTAGGCGTTTGCCCAGAGAAGGCTCATCGCTTTCCACTTCTTTAGGGGTTCCAATATTTACTTATCTAAGTCACTATGATCGAATTCAATTCTCCTTACCTGACTTTATTTCTTACTTTCAAAGCAATAAATAGACCTCTAATACTATGACGCCTTATCGTTTTTGAGTACCTTTGTGAATATTATTCCGACGACTGGCGATATCCATTAATGGAAATTGCATTGTGAACAGTTACCGCTCAAGCAACGATAATTATCTTGTGGATAGCGACGCAACGAAGACATAAGCTTAGGAGAAATAGAAAGAAGCCATGCAAGAAGCATTCGAGATACTCGATACAGATACTGCATCAGAGACGAGGGTAAGTCATCAGGCTACATCATCTATGTCCTGGCATCCAGGTGTCAGGATTCCCTCTCTTGTATAACTGCGACCGAGTCAGTAAAATAGTGCAGTGAGGTAAAAGGGACATCTGTTAGGAGGGTTGGTGTCGTATTATTGAAGTGGTGCTATACGCGCCAAACACCACGTCTGCCTGGGCTGATTTCCAGGTAGTAATATTACGAGAATGTAGTTTCTTATTCTACGGGAATCCAACAGCTATTTCCCTCTTCCAGACAGGAATAACCAACAACTTTAATTATGCATGCTCCTCAGTGGCCAACACAACTGACATCTCGACAAGTCATTTATTTCCCGAGATACTATTCCCCTGGCAATCCAACATCCTTGATTGGTCGCTGCAATTGGCGGCGATTCATGTGAACCTTGAGATTGGAAATGCAGGCCGCGCTCCAACAAGCTGGGCTGCGGCTGAAGTCGCTTTTGGGAAAGAATTCGACGGATGAACAGGTCCTGTATAAGCGAGCTGCTCCCGCTGTCATTCATCGTGCAGGGGAAGGGATTCTCTCCGATAATACATACACTGTCAGGTAAGAAGAGCTGTTTCTGATATAGAGCTAGCTATCCTGGTGGATCTTCTTCTGTGCTTGACGTAGTACATTCGTTTGGATTTCATGAAGTCTGCTGCCTGGAATCATACCTGGATAATCCAGTACGAGCTATGGATAGATTACACAGATTGGCAAGGGACTGCATTTTGCAAGGTTGTATAACCATAAGGAAGACAGATACGAGTGACACCGCGCGAAATATGACGATTCACCTAGCAATCCCACCTGTCAACTCGGCCAAAGTCTCTGCATCGACCAGGCTTGTGCAACCACACAAGCAGAATCAGACGAAGAGGCGGAATAGCCATGCAGAGAGATTGCGCATATAATTCACCGTCCTTGGATTGCTCGAGGAGAATATAGAGGAAACGTCGATGAAGCAGATATCCCATTCTTGCATAGACAAAATGGAGCTGGTGCAAATCGTGCTCTCCCACCCCGTCGCTACTGGCGTCGCGGGAACTACCCTCTATATCATCTTGCTATCAATCTATCGACTGTGGTGCTCTCCCCTTGCCAAATTCCCCGGCCCTAAACTTGCTGCCCTGACATTGTGGTACGAGTTCTACTACGATACCATCTGCCGGGGACGGTATACGTTCCGCATAGGTGAAATGCACAAGCAATACGGTCTGCCTGACCTTTAGAACCAACATAACGATTTGCCCACATCTGACATGCTGCAGGCCCCATCGTCCGCATCAGCCCATTCGAGCTCCATATCGACGACCCCGAGTACTATGACGTTCTCTACTCGCGCACCAGCCCGCGCAACAAGTACGAACTCTACACGAGGCAGTTTGGAGCGCCGCTCTCGATGCTGTGCGCCGTCGATCACCATCGCCACCGTTTGCTGCGGTCGAACATGAACCCCTTCTTCTCGATGACGCGCATCCGGCGTCTCGAGCCGGCCATTCAGGCTCTGGCGGACAAGCTGTGCAGCCGCTTGAGCGCGTTCAAGAACACAGGGAAGTCGATCGTCATCCGTGACGCCTTTCTCTGCTACGCCACGGACGTGATCAGCAGTTACGTGCTGGGCGAGGAGCCTCACTATCTCGACGGACCCGACTTTCTCCCGCAGTGGAGTGACACGATATCCGGGACGCTCGATCTGGCCGTCAATTTCAGGCATTTCCCTTCAATGATCCGCCTCATCCAATCGTTGCCAGAGCGTTGGGTGATGAAGCTTGACCCGGGGATTGGTCTGCTCTTCCAATACCAGCATCAATGCCTGAAGAAGATCAACTCCATCATCGCCAGCCAGGCAGACGGTTCCAAGTCTCAGCGGCTCTCCAAAGGCGATGATGGCGATCCCTCTGACAAACCGACTTTCCTCCACGACGTGCTCCAGAGTAAGCTGCCACCAAAGGAAAAGTCTCCCAAGAGACTGGCACATGAAGTCCGGGTTTTGGTCGCCGCTGGGGGAGAAGCGACGACCAATGCGCTGACAAACATCACCTTCTATCTGCTGGCCAACCTGGACAAGCTGAAGAAACTGCAAGAGGAGCTGGAAACATTGGACCCGGATCACACAGCGACCTTAGTCCAGTTCGATCAGATGCCGTATCTGGCAAGTGTTTTATCTTGCGACGATGTAAACGATATATATGATGGCTGACGTGCATAGACATCGGTCATCCTCGAAGGTCTAAGGTAGACTCATCCTAGTCCTCGTGAGACGCCAGCTGACTATGAAGGCTGACGTACGGCGCGTCTTATCGGCTGCAACGAATTGCCCCAGACCAGGCATTGAAATACAAAGACTGGACCATACCGCCGAATGTAAGCAAGCGAAATCACAGCTCCAAAATCAAAACTGAGATAGTGACCGTCAGACCCCTGTCGGCATGACGAGCGTGTTCATGCACCACAACGAAACCATCTTCCCAGACTCGCACAGTTTCGTCCCCGAGCGATGGCTCGATCCGCAGGAGCGGAAACGGCTGGACAGGTACATGGTGTCGTTCTCCAAGGGCTCCAGACAGTGCATCGGGATGAAGTGTGTTCTCGTATAGATTTTGAGCAAGCTTTCGATATAAGTGCTGACAGTCATCCAGTCTTGCACGGGCAGAAATGCTGCTGGTCATTCCGAGGATCTTCCGTCGGCTCAACATGCAGCTCTTCGAGACGACGGTGGAGGATGTGCGGATGGTTCATGATTTCGTCCTGCCGCGTCCGAAGATGTCCAGCAAGGGGGTGCGTGTGTTGGTTACGGACTAGAAGAAGTTTCGAAGGAGACAGTTGGCGATTTGCATACGTCTTGCGCTAGTCAACGGAAGCAGATTCATCAACCGTCTTTATCCACTCATGTGTGTAGATCTCATGTTCACTCGGAGCGAATCCATCCCCGTTGACGGTAACCCATTGGAATGCATGTCTTGTAGCATTCTCGGAAGCAGTCTCCTCCAGCAGCGGGATCATTTCCGATCGCGTGTTTAATTGCAAGTTCCTAGGGCAGGCTGGTACAGACTGTGACTTGCAGACAGAAGCCTCCGGATGCACGCCTTCATCCTCTAGAACAGTGTTGTCAGCGAGTTGCCATGACCAGTGGCTGTACCGCAAAAAGTGATCGCTGCAGCCATGATGCGCTCGAGCTTGTAACGGTACGTCCTGAAGGTCCATCTCTCCAAACGGCTTCCATGGGGTAAGTGGAGGACTTGGGTATTCTCCCGTGATATAGAGAAGTCGCCAAATATCCGACCTGGACATGCATTCAGGAGAATTTGATACACGTTGCCCAGAATTTTGAATAAATGACTGCGCGGAACCAGTCCAGGCAGCGGCGTCCAGATCCAGAACAGGCAGCCCACTCCTGACGAAACGAAGAACCATGGGCATAAGATTGGTCAGGCTGGCGGCGAGAAAGAGGGAAGCTATATTGGGTCGACGGAGTGCACAATCCCTAATGAGCACGTCATGGTAAAGGGTTTCGACCCCATCCACCCCCGGAGCACGGGGCAACAGATCCAAAGGTGCATATAACCACGCATGAGCGAGATTACAGGGAATATCTGGTTCCCAGAAGACTCCACAAAGATTGGACATGATGCCCCGGGGATGGCAGCCAAGAGTCATGTAGTATGGAAGGTTGTTCCGAAAATTCTCCAATTGTTTGTCCAGAGAAACTCCGCCGTTTTGACGATGGAGTTGGTGGAGTCGCTGCCATTGTATTTTAACTGGGGAGCCGTACAAATTGTGGACCGGCAAAAGCAAGACCGTAGCAATCGCAATTGAAAATGCCGTTCCCGCATTGTGAAGCCTGCAAAAATCTTGCAGGAACTGCATAGCACGGCTGGAAGAAGGCGGACAAACGCCAGCTGTTCGAACCGCCTTTCTTTCCTGCCGGATTCTGAAAGACAGCCCATTGCCGATTCGAGTCGCCCAAGGGGCCAAAAACGGCCCTCTCTCATCTGTGGCAATCACTGCCTTCCAGCCCTGGCCCGGTGCAAGTACAGCTTGCCACCATCTGCTCGCATCGTCGTCCACATCACCGACGTAAACATCGGCATACGAATCGGAAGGCCCCTGCTCCTCATCATCGTGGAGCACTGCTGCAACACTTTCCGTATAATGAACGTACCCATTAGAGAGTGAAACATCGTCTCCTTGGCCCTGCAATTCGACCAGGCGCCGCGAGAAGACGTAAGCCATGCCAAGGACGATAGCCGCGACGACTCCTTTGCTGGAATGGATGCCATGATCTCCGCCAGAGTTCCAGTCAGCGTCTATGGTGACTGGCGTGGCCTTCCGGACACCGAGTATTATCGCACAACATTCAGTGTCTTTTCGAGTGCCCCCTAACCCGCAGTCTGCGCGTCCAGTAATCTCCCAGCTAGAGTGGCCGTACGCAACGAGTCCACCACAGTCAACAGCTTTCCTCAGACGTCCTCCAGATGAGCCATCCGGCATTGCCGGGACTCTCTGGAGGATAGCTGAAAAGGTTGAAAGCAGGCATTAGGAATGGTCTCGTTGTTTATGGCGGCTTCGACAGCGCCGAACCACACGGTCTCACTTTGACTGTCTGCGCGACCTGATCTTGGCTGGGCCGGACTGGATCGTCGTCTTTGTCTGGACGCTTCATGGGGCGCGCGCGTATCAGAAAGAAATTGTCAAATGCATGCCCATGCTGGAGCTCACCTGGCTGCGAGTCGACATTTTGTCCGATCGGAGTCGGTTCTAAGTCTCACATTCCTCACAGAGACTCACCCTGTTAGAGCCTGCCTATCACATGATTTTGCGCATGTATAATGTGGTCTCGCAGTTATTGCACAGCTGGCACAGTTATGGAAAGAAGAAAAGAAATAACTACTGAGACAGCAACTGAACAGCTACTATTCCCCTGATCTCACATGCACAATTAAGAGAGGATAACTTGCGGTAACCAGTCAGGTCACATGATAGATTATATAATCAGGACTACATCTCCATGGTCACGTGGGACTCATGACCCTGGACCTGCACAGCAGATATCACTAGTAGACAATGTTTATTATACCACTTTACTGACGTACAGTCGGTCAAATACTCCATTCTCTCATCGCTGGAGGATGGATATGAAGGTACAGTACGATGTATGGGCAACTGATGGAGTAACAAGCTAGGTGCTGGCTATACAACTAAAATAGGTTAAGTGGATGACTTCGCTATCGTGTCAGGAGCAGAAAGTCTGTGTGGAGACTTTGACAGTTAATTGAGAGCGATGGGGCACCACGAATCGGGTCTGTATCGAGAATGGACAAAAATACTACGATTGTTGTTGTTGTTGGAGGCGCTGTGGGTGAATGCTATAGGTGACTGACAACCAGCTCGGATCCTAGGCCGATGCCCTAAGGCCTGGATCCGTCCGGGTCTCTCGAAGCTTATTTGTGCGGATATCCTGAAGCGTAACGCATGTAATATTTTTTTATATACATACATACATACATCGTAACTCAACCTCGTCCAGTCATTTCCTTAGGCGTAGTGGCATAACACGTGGTATGCACGTGCGAGAAATCCGTCGGATGAGAGGACACCCCCGATCGAGAGTCGGTATAATCCGCGCCCCCTTCCTCAATGATCCGCTCCTGGCTCTGAGTGCTGAACGTGGTGGTAACCTGCAGCGGCGTCGAGGGGGGCTTACTGCGGCGGCTGAGCGAATCGAGGCCGTACGTGCGCTGGGTGTTATCGGACCGGCCGTAGGACCGCCCATAGGTCGACCCGCGGAAGAGCCGCGGGAACAGTGCGGAAAGCGGGTGGCGCATCATGGGCAGACAGGCGCAGATAATGCCCACGTTGGCTTCGACAAGCGTCCAGGTCGAGCGCGGGATGAAGTCCCCTAACATTGATTAGCAGGGAGTACAGTATTTCGAGCGACTGCACTTGGCTTACAGCTTTCGTCCAGATTCGTTGATGTCTCCGACACAGCGACAGTTCGGAGAATGCTCGTCACGCAGACACTGTCAAACCCGCATTAGTATAATGCACAGAGAGAGAGAGAGAAAGAGAGAGAGAGAGCAAGGAGGCACTGACAAAGCACCAACGCCAAAGACAGCCAGCAACCCGATCTTCTCGCGCTTCGGCAGTTGCAGTTTGAGAACCGGACGGAGCGGCAGCAAGAAGATAGCGAAATCGGTGATGGTGTTGGTGGCCGCGAAAGCGTACCAGAAGGCGTTTTGGTTGATACACTTGGGGTGCTTGATGCTCTTATCCCACGAGGCCTGCACCGGGACGCACTGGAAGATGGTGGCCAGGATGGTGCCGATGGCCCAGACGGTAATCAGGACCAGGTACACATAGGCCACGCGCTGGAAGGTCTTGTAGACGAAGATGCGCAGGTACAGCAGGACGATAGAGATCTTGGTCAGGCCGAGGGTCACCTTGTAAAAGATTTGGGCGATGAAAAACCACTTGCGACAGAACGTCAGCTGGAAGACCTCCCCATTGACCGGATGAAACCATCGAACTCACCATGAATGCAGTGCGCTTCTCATGTGTTGTCAGATAGCTCATCGGCCTGCCATAGCCATTGACAACGGCTGTGAACCTGTCAGCCCCTTATCCTCACGCAATGCTTCATCCACATACCGAGATTGATGGTTGCCGTCAGCAACACCGAGAAGACCAGCGCACAGGTGATGGTGATGTCGTCTATGCCGATGCGGGCGATCCAGAACCGGGTCCCCAGCCGCGCGAAGACGAAGAGGGCGGCGACGAGGACCATGACCAGGGCGGTGATGTAGAGGACGTATCCTCGATCGGGGACGTCGCCCTGCGGCTGTCCATAGTTGACCATGTCGTCGATCGTGCTCCCGTGCAGTCACCGTCTCAGAAAGCAGGAGTCATGTTCGTGCAGCCACCAGCGGACACAATCGAGGCAGAATGGGCCATTGGACGTGGCGGGCGATATATTCCTTATCGGCGCGCTGATCAGGAAGAGCACATCGATGCGATCGAGGATCGCGGCAGTTAAAGGCCCGAGTCCCATGGAAATTAAACTTTTGCACTGAACCACGGACAGGCAGCGCGCAAATTGGAATGCTGGCTGAGGGAGGCTTTCCATGGGTCTGGCACTGGCATGCCTTGGCGGGCAGGCAAGGCGAAGCGAGCGGCAATCGCTGACGCACGAGACTGGGCCGGGTTCCGCAGCAGCCGCCCACGTGCTGATTGGATCGCGCCGCTAATCTCCGGTGTTCGGAATCGAGCCGACGAACGGCGGGGCAGGCGCGCTGCCATTGGCTGGCGTCGGGAGAGCAGGCTCGCTCCTTCCCTGTGCGCGATAGCCCCGCGCCACCTTATCTCCGCCGGCGGGAGAATTATCCATTCTCGGCAGGAACGATCGCGAACCGCATCGTTTGTCGAAATTCTGCGTCGTGGCGCCTTCCCAATTCATTAGCTTGCTGCACCCCGTGATGTCACGTGACTGTAGCATACAGGCACGCAGGGAGCTCGACGAGCTTAACAAGCTCAACGCCTGCTCTCTCCCGTTCTGTTATCCAGCAGTCGCTGCACACGATGAGGTGGGAAGCGCTTGTTTTCGGTGCGATTGCGCCGGCCATCGTGCTGGCGGGCAATGCCACCAGCTTCAATGCCTCCACGTCCAACGGCCTGATCATCGGCCATCGCTCCGATAAGCGCCCCAGCGTCATCGAGTACCTGGGCATTCCGTATGCGCAGCCCCCTGTCAACGACCTGCGCTTTGCCCCTCCACAGAAGTATCAGGGACAGGGCACCTATGTGGCTGCCAATTATGTAAGTGCTGATTTGTGGGGAAAAAAAAACCTGAGCTTGGACCGTACTAACAGCGTGCCAGGGATTGTAAGTGCATGTCGGGAACCTGCTGCATGGAGCAGCGCTGATGGATGGCTGCAGTGACTGCTATTACACCCCCTCTCCTTTGGTCGCCTATCCTGGCGCGACGCCGCAGTTTGACAGCATCTTCGAGGCCTTTGCTGCGGCGAACAACAACACCCAGAGTGAAGACTGCCTGACCTTGAACATCTGGTCAAAAGACTCCTCGAATCAGTCCAAGCCTGTCCTGGTTCACTTCTATGGAGGACGTACGTCGATCTCCCATTGCACGACCAAGAAAAAAACGACCGGCTAACGTCGTCAAGGCTGGACAAGCGGCACCACGCATACGCCTTTCTACTATGGCGGCTACCTGGCCGACGCGCAGGATATCATCGTCGTGACGGCCAACTATCGGATGAACATCTTTGGCTTCCCTGGCATCCCAGGCCAGCCGCCCAACCCTGGTCTCCTCGACCAGCGGATGGCAGTGGAATGGGTGCGGGACAACATCAAAGCCTTCGGCGGCGATCCCAACCGGATCACCATCTCCGGCCAGTCCTGTGGAAGTGCCTCAGTCGACTACTGGGCCTATGCCTATCAGTCGGATCCCATTGTCGCGGGTATGATCTCGCACTCGGGGACGGTGTTTAGCTTTCCCGTCAACACGCCCGATGAGGCGGCCCAGCACTGGTACAACGCGTCGGAGCTGCTTGGATGCGGTTCGTCAGGGGACGTGCTTCCGTGCATGAGACAAAAGAGCGCCGAGGACATCAAAGCGGCTGCTGCACAGGTCAAGGTTCCCAACACGAACCCGGCTCGCAAAGCGCCAGCCTTCCAGCCAACCATCGACAACGTGACGATCTTCGAGAACTACACGACTCTGTCGGCTAGTGGACAGTTTGCGCGTGTTGTAAGTAGACACTGAATGACAAGAAACAGTCGATGCTAACGACATAGCCCTATCTGGTTGGAAACGACGACAACGAAGCCGGTTTCTACAAAATCGCGGCCTACGCGCAAGGGGCGAATCTCACCGAGGCGCAGTGGCAGCAGTTCAATTACGAGACCTTCACCTGCCCGAGCCGCCAGGAAGCCATCAACCACGTGAACGCGGGGGTTCCGGCGTGGCGGTTCCGGTATTGCGCCGACTGGGACAACACGCGTCTCTATCCCACCAGCGGTGCCTACCACGGCGTGGACATGAACATGATCTTTGGGGCGTCGCAGGATGTCACGGGACTTCCCGAGTCGCAGCCCCAGCTGCAGCTGCAGCAGCTCATGCAAGCGGCGTGGGCCAGTTTCGTGTCCGATCCAGCGCAGGGGTTGACCAAGATTGGTTGGCCGGTATTCGATCCGAATAGTATGGCCGCATCTCAAGAAATAAGAAAGTTCTTTACTGACAGTTCTACAGAAAACACGCTCATTCGCCTTGGATACGAGAACCAGCCGCAGGCAGCTTTCGTTAACCCGCAGATCTACGACAACGTGTGTTGACATAGCACATAGCATTCGCTCTTTCATTTTTCATTTTCATTTTCATCTTCCTTTTGGCCATTCTCTTCGATATATATTTCTTTGATATATTTCTCTCTTCAATGTAAATACGGCGGTGGGGATGTACATACATCATTTGTAATCCTCCTGTACTTTACTTCGCCATCATCTATGCATATAGCTTTTCTTCTTCTTCTCCTTCTTCTTCTTCTTCAAGCCGGAAAACAATAGTTAACAAAAATTAATCAACTGACTTTGATCTGGCGTAAATACTAATGTCAAGATTTTTTTTTTATATTCCGGCATGCTGGTTGGCAAAACATATAAATTTAAAACCCAGCGTTCATAAATCAACACAAAACAGTATTAAAGTACTTTTATTGCCCAAACGAGGAGACAAATCTTTTACAAAATTTAGGTCATTATTTCCTAGTGTTATAAGTTGTTTATTATAGTGACAGACTCACACTGGGAAAAGACCCGTGCTAACATCATAATTGAATGCTATCGAATTCTGCTACTTAAAATGGGCGCTTTATAAATAAACATCCAGACTCGCCAAATCACGATTATTTCTGCCAGCCCAGCTCTGCGGGAGTATTGCCTACTACCAAGGTAGATAATGAATACATTACCAGCTTCTTTAAACCTGATTGGCAACAGCAAAATACTAAACGATAGTCATTAGGGACCTTGCTCCCACATAACATAGCAAAGAGCTTACGGGCTTACAGCTCGGAGTAGGTACGGAGTACGGAGTAGATAGCTAAATTGCTACTCCGTACCGGGTCCCTACTACCTACCCGGAGCTTTTTTTTTCTTTTCTACCTACTCCGTACGCCGAACTGGACGCATAACATGGAAGGAATGGAAGTATGGATCATGTGAAACAGAGCTATTATTATTTATACTATCTACTGCTTAGGTACTGCCTAACATAAACCTACTTCTATCACTCACTCGCTTATCTGATTATTTATCATCATTAAATGCTATAATTATAATATACAACTTCTCATTAAATCTAGTATCTTGTATAAACAGTCCACCACAGATACGGTGTACATATGACTCCCCTCTCATTTCCAACCATCACCCTCTTCTCATTACTCCTCCTGTCCTCCTACCTCACAGCTCGCTGCTTCACGCCTCCCAATCCGAGCACCGGTGCTCACCGGCTATGGAAACGCGATCGCGTCGGCGCCCTCGGGCAGCATGAGCCTGGACGACTGGTCCTTCGGCGCGTAGTCGCGATTAGCATGTCCGTGTACCATGCTCTTCTCACACTCACATTTCCAGCTACTGGCCAGCACCATGGCCATCCCCTCTGCCGGCATCCCTCAAATCTAAACCCTAAGCTATTCACCTGGTCCCCTTACACGGTGACATGTCTCTTCATAATCATCTTCCTCGGCGCGCCTCTCCGTCTCGCTGCGTATGCTGCTTTGGGGAAGAACTTCACCTTCCGCCTTGCGCAGCCAGACCGTCTCGTTACATCGGGGATTTATCGCTTTGTCCAGCATCCGAGTTACGTGGGGCAGATGCTCGTTTTCCTGGGGAATATGGCGCTTTTCGCTAGATGGGATGCTGCGCCCGGGTGTTGAGTTCCGGAGGACGTCATTGCGAGAGTGCGTGGTTGGGGGGGACCGTGTATGCTGTTATGGTGGTTGTGTTGGTGTGGATGGGTTGGATGAGGATCTGCGATGAGGAGGCTATGTTGAGGGAGAGGTTTGGCGAGAGTTGGGAACGGTGGCATCGCGTGACGAGGAGGTTTGTTCCGGGGGTTATATATAACCTGTCAATCGACTGATCGGTTGTATTAGATGTGCTTGAATTAGGGTGTTTGTGTTGATGCTGTGCAGACGGTTTCTTGCAGCATTAATTAGGATTTCTCATCGCAGCTACAATCGTGTATTGAACGATGGAGACCCAATTCATGCCATGTTTCTTCCGTACGTAATATGCAAGCCTGGAGGCGTCCAGATAATATTCTCGCAAGTCAAATAATACCAAAACGGAATCTTTATTTCATCCACATCTATCTACCATGATATGAAATCCCCTTCCTAGGTTAGTTAAGGGGTAGGGTTACTACAACCCATACACAAACGTATACTTCCGATCCGCATACCTCCTCTCCCCTCTATTCTCCTCCTCAATCTCCTCCGCCGTCATGGCTGCCACTTTCCTCGCTTTCCAGCAATTAACTACCCTTAACGCGATCCCATAACCCGCGTATCCGACGAACGAAACCCCTACCAGCCCCAGCGTGATGCCTAGCGGAACGCGGTACGTCGGCCCGTACTTTGCGAGGATGATCTCGCTGCCGATTATCCCTGCTAGGTTCCCCCAGCCGTTGATACCTAGGACGACCGTCCTCTTGCCTGGCTCGGGCGTGTTGCCTGCTAGCCACGTCACTGTGATCGGTGACGCGATGAATGTCCCTGCTAGCAGGATGACGAGCCCCGCGTACCGTCCGCCGATGTTGTCCAAGGGAAGGGTAATCGTCATGACGAGCCCGATCATGTCGATGACCAGCGCGACGAGGATGGGCCACAGCCGCGTGTGGTAGTGGTCCGACACGAACGAGAAAAGAAGCAGAAACGCGGCCCCGATGACGTACGGCGGCACGGTCATCGGGTTGGCTGTTGGTCCGGAGTATCCCAGGCCCTGAGCAGCGTTAGCTTAGTCGCCTGTCAGCAGGATAATGAGCTTAGTAGGATGGCGACAACCTTCACGACAGTCGGGAAGAAGATGGTGAACCCCTGCGGCGGCACGCTCTGCAGGATATTGAACGGCAGCACCAGCCAGAGCTTCCAGTCCAGCAGCGCCTCCGTGACATCCCGCCAACTGAGCTTGTGCGTCGAGTCAAAATTCGCCGCCGCGTCGATCATCATGCGGTTCTCTGCGTAGCGGCGTTCTGTCGGCGTGAGGAACCACGCTGTGCCCGGCCCCGTGGCGAGCAGAACGGCGTCGCCAGCGCGATGGCCAGCGAGCAGACGCCCTCGATGATGAAGAGATACTGCCACCCATGCAGCGACCCGTTGATCTGGAAGCAGCCGTACGCGATGATGCCCCCGAACGCGCCGGCAATCGCATAACTGCCGTAAAACAACGCGATGCGAAATGCCAGGTCGTACCGTGGGTAGAATTGCGCCAGGTACGACACCACCGTCGGGTAGAAGCCCGCTTCGAAGACGCCGATCAGCAGCCGCAGCACAATCAGCTGCGTTTCGGTCTTGATGAAGGCGTGTGCCACCGTCAGTGCGCCCCAGCCCACGCCGATGATCCCCAGCCAGTACGACTGGCCGACCTTCTTCCCTATGGCGGCCGACACGGGCTACAAGGGGACGTACGTCGCGAAGAAGAGCGATGTCGCCGTGTTGACGGCCGACGCGGGGATCCCCAGGTCGCTCGTGAAGCCGTTGGTCTGCGCATTGCCGAGATTGCTTCGATCGAGCCCGTTGAAGAGGTAGATCAGCGCGCAGAACGGCACGAGGAAGACGTCCAGCTTGCGGTTGAGCGCGATGCTGCGCTTTTTCCTCTGCTGCGGATGGCAGGTAGCCCCCCTGGCGCGACTGCTGCAGCGTCTGCTCGATCTCTTTTGCGGCGCTGTCATCTACTACCTGCATGGCCTGGACGACGTCTGCAGGTATCCTCTCGAGGTGTGCGACATTGCTAAATTTGGTCATCACCAAGCCCTGCACATGGAATTCGGTCAGAACAGTTATCTTGAGAACGTCAGCAGATAAGCAATCAATCAATGGTATTATTCATGATCATGGACTCATTCTGCACCAAGCACTTTATCAGAATTCACGATGGGGCACCAACTCCACACTCCGCAAATCCCTCCGCACTGCCCCACGGGGAATTTCCCAGTCGACGGTCATCACGGAGAACTGCCAAACAGATCAGCGGTAGGATCAGCGATACTCACGGCCAACCTGCCAAGAGGGAATCGTCCACCGGATAAGTTTCCGCAAGAGATAAATCTTTCCTGCCTTCTATTTACCCGCAAAGAGAGTAATTTCGGTTATTTCCGTCGAAAGTCCGCGTCTCGCTCTTCACGCCGATGACGAAGCTCATGTGTGACGCCGTCAGCTGTATCTATATAATGTGCCATGTACTCGTCGGAGGTAGATGCATGCATGTATTGAGGATCGTTCGTGTCTTAACACCGACGTAGAGCATAAATAGAGACGAGAGTACGATCTACGCTCGATCCTGATCTGCCATGCCCGCAGTCGACCGATCGAGGGAGGAGAAGCTTCCTCCCTTCCCAGATGACGTGCCCACCGCGCCTCTCGTAACGATATCCCTGTCCAAACTCCTCCACGGGGATGAAGACGACGAACATGCCCAGCTCTTCCAGGCCGCCAAGTCCCTTGGCTTCTTCTACCTGGACATGCGCGGCTGTCCGGTAGGAGAGAGCATATTGCGGCAAGCTGACGCCATGTTCGACCTCGCAGAGGATTTCTTCGCGTTGCCGGAGGAAGAGAAGAGGAAATACGATTTTGCCGCGCAGGGAAAGTATTTCGGATACAAAGGTATGGGGAAGGAAGTCATTGATGGGGAGGGGACGAGAGATAGGAATGAGATCTACAATGTAGGTATCGCATAGCGTCCGCTGAGAAGTGTTCTTTGGGTACTCAAACATGCAGATCTCCAAAGACGATATTCTCTCGATTTCCGAACCGCTGCCAGCGCCCGAACTCATAAACAACCGACGAAGCGATCTTTCGACGTACATCCACACCAACTACACCATCCTCGATGTGCTATTCACGTCGCTTTCGCGATCGCTCCGACTCGAGCCCTCGACATTGTCGAATCTGCACCGTCTCCACGCGCCATCCGGCTGCCACGTCCGCTTCATCCGCGCGCCGCCGTCGACCAAGCCCGTCAGCGAGGAAACGGCCGCCCTCGGCGAACACACCGACTTTGGCTCCCTCACCATCCTGTTCAACCGCCTGGGCGGGCTGCAGGTGCAGCTGCCGCAGTCGCAGGACTGGGTGTACGTCAGGCCCGTCCCCGGTTGCGCCATCGTCAACCTCGGCGATGCCATGGTCAAGTTCTCCGCCGGCATTCTCCGGAGCAACCTGCATCGCGTCGTCACGCCGCCGGGCGAGCAGGCGAAGCACACGAGATACAGCCTGGTCTATTTCTCGAGACCGGAGCACGAGGTCGTCATGAAGAGGCTGCCCGGAGGACTGATCGATGAGCAGGGCGTGACGTCCCCGGACGGAGAGACGGAGGAGAAAACGAGGGATTGGATGTTGAGGAGACATCTTGGGAGGAAGATCGAGTATTTTACTGGGCCGGAGAGTTGGCAGAATGCAATGGGCACGGAGAAGCGGGATGTCGTGGTGCAATAGCCACGAAGAACGCAGTTACCACTTAGACCATGAAGAATCGCGACACCAGCAAAGAGGCGAAACAGCGCTCATCAGTCTGATCCGGTATCAGTGAGATCAATTCGAGCTGTTGGATTCGACATCTGTCCCTTGTAATGTGCTCACAGTTGTGTCGGCCGATGGAAGGCTTAAAAACTGTCATCGATCTAATCTGGTAAATTGATTGTCAGCTAGGCCCCGTAAAACGTGAATTCTTACTAAATGTCTATGAGAAGCATCGCTTGACCCATTGCAGCCTGTCAGCACTACAGGCAGTATTCCTTGTGAAAGTCGCACCGGCACCATTGCCTTCCAGACGTGACCTGTGTTGACTGATTCAATAGACGAGGCCTTGACTCAGCCGCAGTGGAGCGAAGACTGAGCGGGAGGGAATTGAATCCCCATGAGTCACAACTTGGACATCACGTGTTGCTCCAACATTGCTATATGAGTGAAGTGACAGATACCTAATCAAGGTCTGTCCCACTTTCTGGTGCAATACCAACACAATCAACGCAGAAGATAGAGACTCTGAGCCATGGCGTCATCGCAAACACCCCTTCCTCCATCCAACCCCCTCCAGGGAGTCCCAGCTCACATCCTCTCCCTGCTTGCACGACTGCACAAGGAATCAAAGGCCCAAGAAGCAGCCCTGTCGAACGAGGACTTCAAGGACCGCAGCTTCGACGATGTCATGCGCGACAAATTCATCGCGCTCGATGAGGACAAGGCGCAGTTCCTCTTCCAGCTCTGTCGCGCCATCAATGCGAAGACTGTCGTCGAAGCTGGCACCTCTTACGGCGTCAGCACCATCTACCTCGCCCTCGCTGTCTCAGCCAATGTTGCTGCTACCGGCGGCGAGGGGCGTGTCACTGCCACGGAATACGAGCCGACGAAAGCCAGGAAGGCCCGAGAGTACTGGCAGGAGTGCGGGGAAGTGGTGAGTGGGGTCATTGATCTCCGCGAAGGAGATTTGAGAGAGACGCTGAAGCAGGATCTTGGTGAGGTCGATCTGCTGCTGTTGGACAGTATGGCTTCCTTCCTTGCCTTGCACAGATGATCTCTAGCTATATATATATATCTTGCATGGATCCAGTTGGCATTGACTGACCGCGATGCAGTCTGGACGCCAATGGCCCTGCCCACATTGAAATTGGTACAACCTCATATGCGATACGGAGCCGTGGTGATCGCAGACAACACTGTCGGCGCGGCTGAGGGGTATAAAGACTTGTTGAATTATATGCGCGACCCAGACAGTGGCTTCACCAATCTGACTCTGCCTTACAGTCGGGGGTTAGAAATGAGCGTGTACTTGCCAAGGCGATAGATCTATCAATATCTAGGACGAGACTTGGCAGTCGTCTATAGCGATCTGATGGAGTTGTCCGGACTGTTGGTTACGATAGAGCCGGGATATTGTCCATGTCTGTCTTCCAACCAAATAGAAAGATGTCACGTTAATTTTAGATATGTCCCGAGTGGGAACACAACTGTCCTCGCAGTGCCAATAATATCGCAAGAAAGAGGTATGAGCCATGTCGGAGGTAGTAGATGCGGCAGCCAGGATAAAAAAAAATGACAGCAGTTAGTACTGGCCTGTGCTCAGGATTGTTTACTGATGCCGTGGACGATCATCAATCTGATTGCTTTAACGGGATGTCACCCCTTAATCTGCCTCCCTCTCTGTTCGAACACTGCATCCACTCCTGTTGCAGGATATCTCCCTTGGCGTTGTCGACCGCCATGAGTATAGCCTCGCAATCAACGACGAGGTAGTACCAGCAGTATGCGAGAGTAGACGTGTTGATAAGCTGCCAGATACCAGTGTGAATCCATACGCAGGCAATCGCCAAATGGAACAGTGGCATACGAGCAATATCTTTATTTTTTCAACCCTAACTCATTCGGAATAACTGCGAGTGGCTGCTCGAGACAGGATGCGGACGGCGCATCTGGTCACACAGCTTACTGGCGTTAGCGCGATCGATCTGGCGATAAGGGGGGCAAACTGGATGCTGTCGCTCGAGAGTCCCCTCTGAGCGGGTGTCACTGGCACCACGTGTGGCGTTGCGACCGTTGCACGAGCTTCCCCGCATGGGCAACCACCCAACCTGTCTAGCATTATGACAGGACTCGTGTTGCACAACAAGCAGAGTAACAAGCAACGATATCAGCCAGTCATGTAGCTAAGCCATCGACGTGTCAATTCGTGGCCACTGCGTTGACTCGAGTCACTCGAGTGTTGGGCGAGATGCTCGTTGGTTGTTTGTGGGTGGAACTGCGGAGAGATTAGTCAGCGACCCGGGAGTCAGGATCTGGCGCGGCATTGGTGGACCGTGGATACGCAGTCACATGATATGTGCCAAGAATGGCACAAGCTAAAATTAGGAAGTAGCAGTATGTAGTATGGTCGGTTTCTGAATCCTCTGATACGAAGGGAGGCGAATGCAGCCAGCGTGGCAGGCGAGCGACACTGTGATTGCAGGGTTGCAGCCTGCCGCGAGTCTGGCCGGTCTGGGGTTGATATGATAAGAGTAGGCGATGCTACGGTGATGCTGTCCGGGGGAAGGCGCGGGTGCAACGTTGCTATCTCACTGCCAACCGGGGCAGGGGCCAGGCTTGGCTCGTGGAGATCGGTCGTTCCTTCCGCGCGGGCTAATCGCGCGCTGGCTCGTGACTCGCTGTGTCTCGCCCACCAATGATGGCGCTGCTCACACGACCAGCCATTGCCATGCTACGCTCCAGACTAACTAGCCTGCTTATCGCGCTGTTGCATTCCTGAATCCTTCCTCCAGCCCAGGCTGGCTGCTGGCCCCGTGCAAGGGCCTGCCCGTGAGAATAAAACAGCGCCCCCTCCGTCTCTCTTCCTCTCTCCCAGCTGTCCGCTGCCCTGCGTCCTCGACTCTCGCTCCTTCACCTTGCTGCTGCGTCTCCATGGCTGACTACGACAAAGAGGCCGTCTCCGCCAAGGAGGCCGGTCCCGTGACCACCACTGATCCCGCTGAGGTCCCGCGTCCCTCAG